AATAAAATTTTTTTTCGTTCAAATCATTTTTGTATTCGACGTTTATACCATTCAAATTCGACGTCCGAATTATTAAGCGCCGCGGCCGAGCACATTTAACTTGTTCGTGTTTATAAATTTTGCTAAAAATGCTGTATGTCCATGGGGTGTCATGAGAGGGGTGACACCATGAGTTACCGCACCGGGTGACACCAACCCTAGTGACGCCACTAATTTCATGTTGCTGTTGGGTCATTTAACAATAAATATCAAGCTAACATTTTACAAGCGATATGTAACAACACACAAAACGCAGGCAACAAGACTCACAACTTATCAGACTACATTTAAAACGACATATAAAACAACAAGCAACAACTCATACAAACAAATCATGCTACATTACACACAACACCGCACTAAACTTCCCGCACAATATAGTGTAAAACAATAATTACACATGTGATATCACACAATCTTACACACACAATCTCACGCGCACACACACAATCTCACACACACAACATCCCATACATATCATACACACTACAAATCATCACAACGTACCACATACAATCTCTCACACAGAACATCACACACAACACACACATATAACAAGTTTCATTACATTTTCATTGTGATTATGTTTGCACAAAAGTTGATAAAGTTGATTGGTTGTTGGCGCGGTAGCCTTCTCTCTATGTCTGCGTGTCGTTTTGTCTAGCCGTATAATCATTTAGAACATTGATTGATCAAGTAGTTGTTGGTCGGTTGGTTGGTTGGATGATTGAATTAATGGTAGGTTGATGTTGGTCGGTCCGTCGTTTTGTTGGTTGGTTGACTGGTTGGTTGATTGGTTGACTGGTTGGTTGGTTGGTTGGTTGGTTGGTTGGTTGGTTGCTTGGATGTTAGATGATTGGTTTTTCTACTGAATGGTTGATTTATTGAGAAAGTAGTTTTATTTTGTGGTATATTTGAGCAACGGTTGGTTTGGTTGAGAATTGTTTTTTGATGAAATAGTTGATTCATTTTGATTGATTCGTCAATCGAGTTATTAAATATTTTGTTTTATTTTTAATTTAGAATTATTGGTTTCTTTGTTTTTTAGTTTTTATATTCTTGATTGGCTTGCTGAATGGTCTAATAGTTCGTTTGTTCGCTCGTTCATTCGTTCGTTTTTATGTATGCATGTTTGTTAATTTGTTAATTCATTCGATCTTTTGTTCGTTCGTTTGATAAAATTTTTAATTTGTTCAGTTATTGAGAGCTCAGTTAAAGAGTTGCTCAGCTGTCGGTTGGTTAAATGAAAAGAATATGTCTAATAAAAAAATTACACTAAGATCAACATTTAAAAATTAAAAGCGAGTTATTTAAAAAAATTAAAAGTTTCTCGTATAAAAATGATGAAACCTAAAGACGCTTGCAACTTCCGGAGGTTCAATAAAACGAAATGAAGCATAACATTATAGCCATCAATCACATCCACATATCGATCTATCGTACCGCTGGCTTGCCCTCTTTTTTATAAACATTAATAAGATTTATCAAATTATTCTAAATAAGTTTTTCCATATTTAAGATTTATGATTATGTTGTTTGTCATTACACTTTGGTCCTTTATAAAGTTGAATAGTGAATGCTTATTGCCATTAAAGTGATAAGCCTAGTGCAAGAAGAATTTGTAATGTTTACGGGAGAATTTTGTGGTCTATGTTTGTAACCATACCCACATTTTGTAGTATAGGTAAGTCAACAAAAGTTGATCAGAAATAGGTAAAAGGTTCGCTTGGTCATGACATCGGGCCTATGAGCTGGTTTCCCAGGAGTCATTTAGTCTAGATCAAATTTCGCATGCTAAATGTTGCATTTTCTGAAGAGAAAGTTCTTTCAGAAAAGCGTTGTACGGTACAGGAATTTTAAATTAGGAGCTTTTTTATGTGTTTATTCATGCGGTTTCCATACGGCAATCAGTGACTTAAAGTTATCGAAATCAACATTTACAGAACTCATATTCAGCATTTTTTATGTTTATCTTCTAATATATATTCTGTTATATATATATAAATTCTGTTATGCATATATTTATATATATATATAAATTCTGTTATATATATATATATATATATATATATATATATTTTTAAGAGATCTTTAGGTTAATATTGATTTTTCATAAAAATTAATGGAGTTGGCATTCTTATTGGAAAGTACAAACTGTAAGAAACAAAAATTCAGATAAATATTCAGTTAAAGACTTAAAGTTGTCATCTTTTCTTATCGGTTTCTTCGTTTAACTTCATTTTACTTTATATATATATATATATATATATAAATATATATATATATATATATATATATATATATATATATAACTCACTAGTTCATCTATTAATTTTAATTATTTTATTTATTAACTTTTATTTTTAAGAGATCTTTAGGTTAATATTGATTTTTCATAAAAATTAATGGAGTTGGCATTCTTATTGGAAAGTACAAACTGTAAGAAACAAAAATTCAGATAAATATTCAGTTAAAGACTTAAAGTTGTCATCTTTTCTTATCGGTTTCTTCGTTTAACTTCATTTTACTTTATATATATATATATATATATATATATATATATATATATATATATATATATATATATAACTCACTAGTTCATCTATTAATTTTAATTATTTTATTTATTAACTTTTATTTTTAAGAGATCTTTAGGTTAATATTGATTTTTCATAAAAATTAATGGAGTTGGCATTCTTATTGGAAAGTACAAACTGTAAGAAACAAAAATTCAGATAAATATTCAGTTAAAGTTGTCATCTTTTCTTATCGGTTTCTTCGTTTAACTTCATTTTACTTTATCAAACTGCTGCTGTTTTTTTATATTTGAACTTCTGTCTCATTTTAAGTTAACATTTGACGTTCAATGTGGAAGAAAGTAACACAAGTTCGTGGAAAAAAATAATGAACTGAACAATTCGAAAGGAAAGCCCACCAGCTACAAAACTAGAAATAAAACTGACATAAAAATATCTTTAAAGAACAATTTAAAATGAAGAGACCGCCTCGCGATAAACTTCACAAGAATTTTTATGATGTCGAAAATAAAATTTTTGATCGATTGATGGGAAAGATTAAAATAGCATTGGTATTTGATGAAACATTCGGAAGTGTACCACGGGCGCGTTTTTATTTTTCTCAAATGTCGCAAAATGTTTGATTGCTAAACAAAATGTCGTATCTATTGTTGGCGATTTTTCCGATATGAAATATTTATTTTTAAAAAAGACGAAATGTTTAATAGAAGCTTGAATTAACATAGACTATGTAATCTATTACGTCAGGAGTGGGCAAACTTTTTGCCGTGAGGGCCGCATTGAGAACAATTTTATTTTTGAAGGGCCGCATATGTACTTAAATAGCAAATTTTTTCGACCCGGGGAGAATTTTTTGGTCATAATGTCTGGTTGACGACCTTTTAATTAAGCGAGCAAGGTCACGCGGGCGGGCCACATAAAATAGCTTTGCGGGCCGCATGTGGCCCGCGGGCCGTAGTTTGCCCACCCCTGTATTACGTCATTCTCGTCAGGAAGACGTTGTTGTCGTTGTTATGTTCACATGCAAGCAAATGCAATAAAATATAAACGAGTATACATCCCACACCAACAATCATTATCATCGTACATCATAGAACCGCCGTATATGGTATTTTTGATGGTAGCTCGTATTTGATACTTATGCACGGTTTACAATCCCATTCATTTACTCATTCATGCGTATTTTTATTCATTCATTCATTTTTTACGCGATGGTCAAAAAACGAGCTTAAAAAATTTGTGTTGTTAACAGATTTTATGTTGTTGATAGTTTAAAATAAATCATGCAACCAAAGGCGGCATTGTCTCATCATTCAAGTTCCGAACCTGGCTGTAAATTTTTCGACTGCATGTAAGGGCGGGTAACCCTGGATGTAGGTAGGTTGATTAATTTAAAAGTTTACGATAGAGCATTTTTAATGCAACCAAGTAGCAGTCTAATAATTATTGTAGATTCTACCTTCCAGCAGAGTACCTGGTGATCACTAGATAGATCGGATTTGCGTGAGATAAATTATACCGGGACCCTTGAACAGCAACGTGACTCCACTAACTAGCCTAAACTTATGCAGTGGCTCCACTCGCGTCCTACAAAAATTAAACTACCTGATCTTCTCTCACTTCATTTTAGCAGTCCAAGCAGAGCCATCAACGGCTAATTGCAAAACTTCATTTAAAATATTTATTTCAGGTTATAAAATCTAATTCGTTCAAATAATACTAATTGCTCCAAACTATGACATTAAATTACTTTCAACCTTATAAAATAATTTTAGTAAAATGTCGATAAAATCGAATTCAGCTCATATACAACATGCATGCTTGTAGGCCTGGGCAAATGTATGTGTCACGTAAGTTCCAATGCATGTGCAGTGAGAGATATAGGAATCGTTGCACATGCATAAACACGTACACAGTGGCGGATCTAAGGCCTCCAGTTGTAAGCAGCATTTTTATAACAAGTCAGTTAAACTGAGTTTTTATACAAGAAAACATCGATTCTAAGTGCAGATCGGCGTGATAAGTATAAAATGGTCGCAGCCCAATTTCGACCGCACAAGCAAACATTTGGTTAATTTCTTGGTCCCTCCGTCAAATTTCAAAACTTGGCCATCCCGGTAAGGATTGTGCTGATCCGTCACTGCAAGTATACGTGCATAAACAGCCACCATGCATACAATTTTTTTGAAACACGCAGACTTCATTCTACACCAGAAGTGGGCAAACTACGGCCCGCGAAGCTATTTTATAAGGAGCCATAATCTTGAAAATATTCTCCCCTGGGTCGAAAAAATTTGTTAATTAAGTACATACGCGGCCCTTCAAATGTAAAATAATTCTCAATGCGGCTCTCACAGCAAAAAGTTTTCCCAACCCTGTTAGAAAACACCAGTTAGAAAAAAAGTTGGAAAAACAAAAAAACAAAACTGTTAAAAAAATTTTTCCTAAAAAGTTTAAAAAATAATTTCAACTTAAAAAAATAATTCTACAAATTCTACGTGGTAATTTCCGTTAAAAACTTTTCAAATATGACAATTTTCATGAAAACAAATCAGTAAATTCTTGAATATAAATATTATTATAAATCTAATCTAATCAAATCTAAACACTTTAAACAATTTTATATTTAAAACATTACAATTAAAAAATAAAAATGTAATTGCAGTTTAAATGTTAATTTAAACAAATATGGGTTTGATAATAAATTATGGAAAATTCTCAAGTAACAGTCTTCTTCTTCAACATATTCGTTATGAAGTATTCACCTGCAAATATTTCATTCAATTAATACAAATTAGGGATGCACCGAATGGAGAATTTGGCCATAGTCGATACACTATTCCGCCTAAGTTGAATATTAAAAAATGCACAATTTTGAAAAAATTTCAGTCCATCAAACAAATCTATATCGAAGAAATATTTAATATTGCTTGTTCAAATTTACATGTTTCAGCAGCTGTGATAGCAAAAAATAAATTTTCCGTTAATAATATTCAACAATTATTGTTTTGAAACCCAAAAAAGTGAAGCCGAATGTCAAATTTTGGATGAATTTTGTCAAGAATCTGAGAGCAATGAACAAGAAATAATGACACAAAAAAATAATCACAATCTTAGTTGCCACAACTATCAACACAACTGCTTGCTCATAGTCATTATTATCATCACCACAAAACGGCTCACCTGCCCGATAAGAGGATCGAACCAGGGGACCACTGGCTGTGTATTTGAAGCCCATCTCGTTACCAACCTGCTGCCAGTATTTAAACTTCTCTGGTGTTACGTACTCCTTCACCTGGCAGTGCATTCAATCGACTTCATTGTTGACAAAATGATTATGATCAACAGTTTAAAGTTTCGTTTATTTGCGTCACTACTGGGCTACTAAAATTTTACAAAGTCAGTGAGCTATAAAAACTTATTTTGAAACAATTGATAAATTATAAATTAAATAACTGACTAAGAGTGAACATTTAAACACAACATCAACAACTACATAACGTATCGGTGACAATGCTGACAGTAACAACATCAACCAACACTTAAATGCCTCCTTGTCGGTTGCATGTACTGCCCGAGCGTCACACAATCCACACCTGCCTCTCTCAGATCTGCGAACAAATCAAAAACAATTTATCATCATCGTCGTCGTCTTCATCATCACTATCACTCCAGCATCACGCCAGCCCAGTGTCATCACATCCTCGTCATGCCATCACAATGAAAACGCAATTTTTTATTATCCCGAAAAATTTTCACAAAACGTCCGCAAATTTATTTGTTTTCATCATCAAAAATGAAGTAAGTAACAATGAACAGCTGTGAAATGATTTCTTTTAAACAACGAATCTTTCTCATTCATCCATATATGCTTCATATCCATATCGGTATATAGTTTCATATGATTGAGGTTGCATAGCCAAGAATGAATGAATGGAGAACAGTGGTAAGCGAGGCCACGTGCATCCAAGTCATTGCTCCCAAGGTAAGTATTAGAATAAGAAAGTAGAAACGATGACGTGTTAATGAATTCTCGTTCATTTTAAAATTTTAAGCAGTCGTATAGTTCGAAATTTGTTGTGGAGAAGTTTTAAGAGCAAATATTCTGTCGTTCAACAGGCAATTATCAATCATGTTATAACAGCGCAACAACGACTGTACAACAGGACAACCTTGCATTGTTTTAGTGACCTCCTCATCCTTCTCTCCATGCCCCAACATGATGGAAGACTTGGTGACGATGGTGGGCTTGTGCCGCTTGGCATGCCTCAGCACATCTAATGACTGCTGGTACTTGGCTCGATGATCGCGAACCAATCTGAGTGTGTTTGTGAGTATGTTTATACATGTATTCATGTGTGTGATTATGTATGTATGTCGATAAGCATGTATGTCTGTTTATGAGCGTTTGTCAGTAAGCAAGAGTGCATGTGTGTGTGTAGTGTGGGTGCATGTACGTGCTAATCTTTCAAAGGCATCATAGATATCATCTAAAAAACGAACTTTGTTCAACTCAAGTAACATATTGTGGTGTAGTTTGGACTTCAAACTTTATAATTGACAGATCTTATCAATATGCTGACGCAAAAAGGTTCATTCATTTTACTACAAAAAGTCCACGTTTTATAAATAATACCAACAACCAATGTAATAAAACTATCAGGAAACAAGGTTTGCACATGAACTTACAATTTATTCATAGAAATGTTTAATATAATAATAACTGCAAAAATATGAAATCTAATTAAGTCCACTTAGCTACATCTTTTTAAATAGGATAAAAGTTGCACTTTATTCAAAAATATATTTGAAATAAAATAAAAATTTGAAATATAAAATAATAAAAATAAGATGAGGTGAACCTGTGCAGGACTTCAACAGTTTCAATGTTGTGTGCAAAGACATCGGGACCAGCATCTAGCACCATTTCAATAGAGTGCTTGTTGCCTTGGAAGTCTGGTGTCAAACATTCAACGAGCATCTCTGATGACCTGTCACACAGACGATGTGATATGATCATTCTCAACATCAAATAGTTACATGCAAACATGCATATATGTCTTCTTCTCATGCCTTGTCCTATCGTCTGGTCATATCCATCTGGTCACAAATATGTATATGCAGTAATTTAATTTTTTTTCCAACATCATTTCCATAAAACAAACAAAATTTTGGTTTTGAACTAAAAAAAACTTGAAAATGATTTGCGAGCAACAGTTAGAAAAATTGAAAAGTTAAATTGGAAGTTAACTAACGCCGAACATGCTGTGATTTTCATTGTCAATAATTGCATTTCTGACAGTCTTAACCACCATATACATATATATATATATAATATAATATATATATTATATATATATAATATATATATATGGTATATATATATATTATATATAATAAATATATATATATATATATATATATAAACAAATACAATGGACATCAAGTGAATAGGTGATAGATATTAGATATACGACTGTGCAACACACAACTATAAAACACTGGCCGAGCATTAATACAACCAACAACAACAGCAAGTCGTTCAACCTCTTTTTGATTTCCCGAATTGTTTCAGCGAAATGATGACTTCCACCATCAGGAAGATCTGCCAAAAGAAGATGGAAACGATGATGAAATTGGCAATGGAAATGACGGAAATAATTATGGAAATGATGTTGGAAATGTCGGTGGATATGATGATAAGTATTTTACCCATTAACGCTAACTATTTATAATTTTTCAAATAAAATTTTCTATTTAGAATTTTTTGATTGTTTTCATTATTTTATTTGTAAGAAAAAGAATATAAATTGTTTTCAAGATAACCAAGCATAATGTAAACAGAAACCGACATCAAAAAAATTAACCGACCATCTCGATCGACAGAGGTGAGCACGACGTAATCCAATCCCCATTCGACGACAGCAGTTGCAGTGTTGACGGGTTCCATGGAATCCAACGCAGGAGGGTTCCTAGATGTCTTCACAGAACAAAACCTACAGCCCCTGGTACAAGTGTCACCCATGATCATGATGGTTGCCGTGGCCACCTCATTCTCACCGCCTGCCCAACACTCTCCAATGTTTGGACACTTTGCTTCTTCACAGACCTTCATAAATCGACATCATAATATAAATTAGGTAGGTTATGTAGGTAGGTAGATAGGTAGGTAGGCAGGCAGACAGACAGACAGACAGACAGACAGATAGATAGATAGATATATAGATAGATAGTTAAATAAAAAGATGGATAGACAGATAGAAAGATAGATAGACGGATAGAGAGATTTACAGATAGATAAAATGATAAATAGATTGATTGATAGATAAAGATAGATAGACAGACAGATAGATAAACAGACACACAGACGGATAGATAGATAGACAGACAGATATACAGTTCAACTAAATATTTAAAGTGATCTAGCAAGCCCACTCTAAACTAACAGTATGCAGTTTGAGACTTCTCAGTGAATCTTTCAATTTATGAAAATTTCTTCCAATGGGAATCTCAGTTTTCAGCCATGGTGGCAATCTTAACCTGGTGTGGTTAACAACAAAACATGTCATACATACTTGTCAGCAACAACCACTGATATAAATACTGTCATTAGAAACAATAATGAGTTGAACAGAACTTGAACAATAGTCTGACCTTTCACCAGAGGCACTCTTCAGTTGGCCAGCATATATTGTTGTAGATGCACCTTCCTTCAAGAAATCCTTCAGATCTTAAAAAAATTAAACCACTGCACAATATAATACAAAAAATACATCAATCAACGTTTTAAACCATTTTGTAATTAAAATTATAATTCATATTGAAAAAAGTGAAACATTTGAAAACAAAAAATAATAATCAAATATATAAGTGTTATGAATTAATTCATTTTAGCATAAATAAAGCAAATTAGAAAACATTCTATATATATATATATATGTGTGTGTGTGTGGCTTGAAATTTTAAATGATTTTTTTTGTCTTTTTTGTAAAGGTTGAAAAGTAAGTGCTGACAGTTGGCACTAGAAAGTTAGACCTGGAAGAAAGTCAAACAATTCGGTGATTAACTGAGATCTTGAAGATAAAAATCAGATAAATAAATAACTTTTTTTTACCTGGTCCATTGATGATGTTGTCTTTTTGATTTCCTGAAATAGTTGATTTTGGTGAAACAGGACGAATAAAATTCTGAAATTTTGATTGACAAATATGCATTAAATAAAGGTAAATACATTATTAAACTAAAAATAAAATAAACAAAATTCAACTAAAACATTCAATTTTAAACAGATTATTTTTGAAAATCTGAATTTTGTATCACTGCTAACAACATTTTTTAAAATTCCACTTTAAACTTGAAAATTCATTCTAATCCAAGATAGGTAGTTAAGTTACCAACTATAAATATTAACTGATTAGTAGCTAAGTATAACTACTGGATAACTATTTTTAAAAAAGTAAATAACTATTTACAGTTTATTACTTTTTTAACTACTTGAACTTGAACATATTTTCATAGAATAAATTACAATATTTTATAAATTCTACCGAATGTTTGGCGTTAATATGTTTGTAGTTCGCCAAACATTCGATATAATTTAAAGAATATTGAAAGCTCTAAATTTAAATGAAATGGATACAACTGATCGTCTAATTTGGCGCAAAAAGTTAATGGCAAAGAGAACAACGTCCTACCTCGGGAAACCGGGTCTCTGGACGCAAAACGAAGATTGATTGATATATAGAGAATACACACATTTTTAAAAATAAAAAATAATGGTATTTATTAAAATATCATTAACAATTTGAAAATTACAAGTTGAAAATAAAATGAAGGGCTTTGATTGATCATAAATATTAATTAGAATTAGAGCCAAAATCAAATTTAGAGGTCTTCAATATTATTCAATGTAAAAAAAAGTTACAGGTGGTGTTCTAAAGTTTTACCAATACATATTTATTTAGTATACATTTCAGTGATCAGTTCTGTTCAGCCGCTTATAGCTATACAATTTCTGGTATTTATAATTTATAATATATATATTATACATATAATATATTGTTATAACCGTGCTACCGAACGCACTAGATTCTAGCGCATTCTAGAATGTTCTAGTGACTGGAGCATTCTAGAGTATGCTAGAATCGAACCATCTAGAAGAATCTAGAAACGACGCTTGCGAAGAGTATATAAGCGCACGTCGCAAGAAGATTAGCGATTAGTGAAATCCGTGATTAGTGAAATCCGGGATTAGTGAAATTCGTGATTTTGTAAATTCGTGACTGTGATTTTGTGAATAGCGATTCGTTTAATAACTAATAACTGTTTGGAGTATTTTATTCAATCGAAGATTTGAACCCGTCGCATCGTAAATCGGTTACGACAGCGAGTATTATAACATTGGTGTCAGAAGTGGGATCTTCGACTAGCGAATTACTACTCATGGAAAAAGAACACGATGTCAAAACTGTGTGGTTTGAACGTAGTTCAGCTACGAGAAGAACTACAGAAACGAAGCCTTGTCACAAGTGGCAACAAAGAAGTACTAGTAGCACGTCTGAGAGAAGCTCTCATTGACGAAGGTAAGAACCCAGACGAATTCAAGTTTGATGGTGCTGACGAAGACAATGAAATTAGCACAGGCACGTTTACAACCGCTAAAATGATGGAACTTCTGCTTAGTATGTCAACTGAAATAAAACAACAGTCCGAACGACAGACAGAGGAGTTAAAACAGATCAAAGAACAGTCCGAACGACAGACAGAGGAGTTAAAACAGATCAAAGAACAGTCCGAACGACAGACAGAAGAGTTAAAACAGCAGATCAAGGAACAGTCCGAACGACAGACAGAGGAGTTAAAACGGATCAAGGACCAGCTAAAACACGTAAAATTGGAAGTGGCAGAACAGATTGAAGAACAGTCAACAAGAATAGAAATGATCGAGCAGAAACTTGATCGTCAGACCGTTGAGGTAGATCACAAGATAGACAAATTGAAGCGAGAATTGGAGCAATCGAAAAAAATGGCCATGCCGTTAGATCACGCATCCGGAAGAACTTTGAAGGTACCAGCATTTGACGGAGAGATGTCCTGGAACGTTTATAAAACCCAGTTCGAAGCAGCGGCAACTAGTAACTGTTGGAACAGAAAAGAACGAGCAACAGCACTGATACTGGCCCTGCGAGGTTCAGCAGCAGAGGTTCTTCAGACGATTCCGGCGGAGAACCACTTCAACTATGAAGTTCTGGTTAGCGCGTTGGACTTATGTTATGGTGAAGAACACATGAAACAGATTTATCGGTCTCAGCTTAGAAACAGAACGCAACGATCTGGTGAATCCATTCAGCAGCTGGCACAAGATATCGAACGGTTGACATTGCTGTCGTATCCGACATCAGACCCCGAGCATAGAGACGAAACTGCCCTGGATACGTTTATCAAAGCCCTTCGTGATTCGGAACTCAAGCAATCCCTTCTCTTGTCAGATAAACGAAAACTCAAGGATGCCGTTGCACACAGTCTCACTTTTGAATCGGCAAAGCAAGCATCAAAAAGTGACGTACGCCTACGCCAAGTACATGAAGAATGCTCTTGCCAGAAGGTGGTTGTGAAACGCAAACCCCAACAGCATGGTGTACCCCAATGCTGGATTTGTGGTGAAAAAGGCCATCTACGTCATGATTGAAAACACCGCCTAAAAGATAACTACTGCCGAAATTACGCGACAAGATGGCGCAAAAGAAGAGAAGATGATCCTGTATCACGATCGGCCCCTTCTAACCAGAAGGTGGTTGTGAAACGCGAACCCCAACAGCATGGTGTACCCCAATGCTGGATTTGTGGTGAAAAAGGCCATTTACGTCGTGATTGTAAACACCGCCTAAAAGATAACTACTGCCGAAATTGCGCGACAAGATGGCGCAAAAGAAGAGAAGATGATCCTGTATCACGATCGGCCCCTTCTAACGAAGGGGCGGAAAAGCTAATAAGAGCCAACTTTGTGGGGAAGAGGTTGGCTAGTAGAATTGACGCCCCCAGTACCGTAATTAACGTTTCCAGACTACATCGAAATCGAAACGACCTATGGCTGAACGGAAAAGTTGATCAACGAGAATGTGTAATTACAGTCGACACCAGAGCAACAAAATCTATTTTAAGATCTGATTTGGTACCCAATCTGAAAAAAGAGACTTCTAACAAATACATCCTTCAAACAGCTACCGGAGAAACAGCACCAGTCTATGGAAAGATTCTCCGTACTGTTCAGCTAGGTGACTTGTTATTCGAAGGTTCATTCTTAGTTGCGGATATCATTGACGAATGCATAATAGGTGTCGACTTTCTGACAAAATATGGGTTCAAAATTGACTTAGAAAAACGCATTCTTAGATGGAGAAATACAGAAGTGATAATGGGGGATAGCGACAAAAAATGCATTCGCGTGACAGTCGATTGTGACATAGAACTACCTCAATCATCTGAAAACATCGTATGGGGCAAGTTGAATTGCGATCCAAGGGGCCACCAGTTCTATTTGATGAAGCCAACCTCAACGACAAATGTACAGAACGCGGTCATCGGAAAATGCCTGGTAGAAGCAAACAAAAATGGTCTTATTCCTGTCAGAATAATGAATACTGCTAAACACATTATTAAAATTAAAAAAGGCGAGAAAATAGGTAATTGGCAATCAATAAATTTGGTGAAATCATTAGATATGGGGCAACAGGAAAAGGTTCTACCAACTGACAAAGGTAGACTCAAAGAACTTACCAAAAATCACCTGGATGAACTCCATTTGTATCAAGAGGACCGTCTAAAAACCGAGGCGTTGATTGCTGATTTTACAGATTTTACTGATTTGATTTTGCTGTCGACGAATTAGTTTGGCTGTACAACCCACAGCGAAAGAAAGGACTTTCTCCAAAGCTCCAGCGAGGGTGGAAAGGACCTTATCAAGTCATCACCCGCTTGAATGACGTCTTCTACCGTATTCAGGAATATCGGAAGCCGAGAGCAAGAATGAAGATCATTCATTTGGATAGACTGGCTCCGTACCATGCCGACACCGGAACGAAAGCTGTTCGGGACGAACAGAACTAAGAAGGGGGTAATGTTATAACTGTGCTACCGAATGCACTAGATTCTAGCGTATTCTAGAATGTTCTAGTGACTGGAGCATTCTAGAGTATGCTAGGATCGAACCATCCAGAAGAATCTAGAAACGACGCTTGCGAAGAGTATATAAGCGCACGTCGCAAGAAGATTTGAGATTAGTGAAATCCGTGATTAGTGAAATCCGGGATTAGTGAAATTCATGACTCTGTGATTTTGTGAATAGCGATTCGTTTAATAACTAATAATTGTTTGGAGTATTTTATTCAATCGAAGATTTGAACCTGTCGCATCGTAAATCGGTTATAACAGCGAGTATTATAACAATATAAACATCTGATGATAGTCCTCTCTTTTTTCATGATCTCTCCGCGCGCATAATATATAATATATATTATTATATATAGGTAGGGCGTTGGGACTGGGAGCTAACTTCAGTCAAATAATTTTTTTAGGGTTTAGTTTACTTACTAATCACTGTTTGCTTAGGTTTACTACTTTACTTACTGTATAAAATAAATAAACGTAAACAATGTTTACTATGGAGGCCAGCCCCAACACACACCTAAAAAGGATTTGAAAACACGGCTTTCAAAAAATCTAATAAATGGTAAAATAGTTATTAAAGTTTAAAATGTACTAACACGCAATTGAAAGTTGCGAAACAAGCATTTCGGACTGATCATCTTGTTCTAGTACTTGTAACATGAACGTTCGTAACTTCGCCCATGTTTACGAAGGAAAGTTTGGTTAGCAAAGATCAAATGTTAAAATCCGCCTACTGTAGTCACTGTCTGTTGCTTCTATTATATCGAAAATATTTCGGTTTTCCATAATAAAATGTTAAAATCAAATTAATTTGCGTTTTTATTAATTTGTAGCTATATATGATATAAATGTCATAGTGGGTGAGTGTTATATACAAAAATAAAAAACTAATTTACTATGCTAAGCTATCACTCCTTTATAATATATATATGTATATATATAGATATATAAATATATATATATATATATACACTGATTAATTTATATATATATATATATATATATGAATCAATCAATCAATCAATTAATTAGCTTGCAACGGCGCGAAAACAGATGGGTTTTGAGATCCGCTCTGAACTTCATAAGTGATGGAGAAGTAGTCAGAGAAGTAGGAAGAAAGTTCCAGAAAAAAGGGCCAAAAAAGCAAAAGCAGATTTAGCAGAAGAGTGTTTAACACGAGTTAAGAAGAAGCAAGAACAAGAAGACGATCGTAAACCGGGGTGTTTAGGTTCAATTAATGTATTTGATAAGTACTTAGGAAATAATTTAGATTGAGACTTATACATAAATGTGCAAATTTTAAAAATTATTCTATACTTGATAGGTAGCCAGTGCAAGAGAATAAGATATGTAGATATATAAGAAAAGAAAGGGTCACCAGCAACTAGACGAGCAGCAGAGTTAAAAGCTTTACTTAAAGGATAGAGTATAGAATCAGGATGACTATAGTAGAGCAAGTTACAATAACCAATCCTAGATAAGACTAACGAAGTAACAAGAAGGAAAAAAATAGGATCATTAAAGAAAGGCAAAAGTCATTTTATTCTACGTAGATGAAAATAAAAATTTCTAGCAACACTATTAATCTGTAAAAAAAAAGATACATACTAGAATCAAAGATAAAGCTTAGACTAAGAAACTTGTGAGAAACATCAAGAGTTTTTGAATCAGGTAAGATAATAGGAGAAATAGTAATAGAATGTCTAGATTTATAAATAAATTAATTAAAATTTAGAAAGATTAAGTTTAAGACACATAGAGTCTGAACAAGCGATAACTGAAGAAAGACATAGAGATGGGTTAGGAAAAACTCTATTGAAATTAGATGGAGGAAAAGAAGTATAAATATAAGAATCATTAGCATATAGTGGACTGGTGAAAGAAAAGTTATTAATAATACAAGGTAGTTTAGAAGTATAGAGTATAAATAGAAGAGGACCAAAAATAGAACTTTGAGGTACTCCGAAAATAATAGTAGAGGAGTTTAAGTAAATTGGAAAAAATAAATTTAGAGAACAGGTTGTAGACGACATAGAATTAATAATTTTAGTAAGTTTTAGAAAATTTATTAGAGAAATTACAGAAAAAGATTCAGTAGTAAATTTAGTAAAATTATAAAGAGAAAAATTAAAATTTGATGTTTTTAAAGAAGTAATTTTATTTACAAAAAAATCATAAAACTGTTGAACGGAAAAAGATGAGAGGATTTTTTTTGAAGAAGTTTAGATAGAATGGATCACCTATTTTTAGATGCTGAATCAGATGTTACAGAATTTCTAAAAAAAGTAGAGTGTTTAGAAAATAGTAGATGTTTATAATTAATTAAATCAAATTCATAGATAAAATAAAGAGAGTTAGATGGATTTAACTTACAGACTTTCTTCAGTCTTCTAACACTTTTCTTAGCTAATACACAAGCATAATCGAAAAAAGGAGCCTTACTAGAATAGAGCCTATAAGTAAAAGTTTTAAGAGGAATAAGCTTATCAAGAATAGAAGTAATGTAGATAATAAAAGCACACACAAAATCATCAACATCATAAAATAAGGTAGTATCAAAAATAGTTTCAGTAACCGATTGATTAGAGTATATATATATATAGTATATATATATATATATAGAGAGAAAGAGAGTATATATATATTTATATATATATAAATATGTATATATATATATAATGACCCGTTAACATAATAATTATCTATACTGCAACTGAATTCATATGCAAAAATTTTGGATTTGAAGCTAGTGTAAGTTGTACAATATTAGTGTTCCATATAACTAGGGCTTTTGTTTCCCAGGTTGTATCTGTTCTTTAAAAGTTTTTTTTTGAGTGAGCGTAAAATTAGTCATTAAAAGTCCTTTTTTTAAAAACATCTTTTCAATATTTGAGAATGAATGAACAGTCGGACCTTTTAGGAACGTACTCATCTCCTTTTGGTTCTAAATCAATTTCACACTTGAAGACAACAAAATCCGGAACGGGAAATGGACCCGACAACTTAACTACCACTACCACTACTAATTCTAATACAAACAAAAACAAGAAACCCGTGGACAACAATAATAAAGAGAACGAATTTGATCAGCTGAAGATGATGAATAGATTTAATGCATTGAGTGGTGCTGTCGCCCCATCACCATCATGTGGTGGTGGTCACTCTTCATCTTCTGCTTCTGATGAGAAGGTTGGGGAGTACACACTGGAGGCCGTCGAGTTGCTTGATGTTGAAAATCTTCTCAATAATGTTAAAGATCCATGGTAAGAGGAAGATTATTAAGTTATTTTTATTATTTATTATTATTGCTTGTTATTATTGGGTTTATTTTATTGGTTTCTCAGAGCTGTGTTTATTGTATTTTTTTATTTATATTTTTCAACTGTAGGCTAGATTTTGATTTAAAAAGTGAAGTAGAAAATGATTTTGATCTGTCTTCATGGTTAAACGATGGCTTGAAATTGGAAGAAAGTAATTCTAAAAAACCATTAAATAATCAACTTGGCAAATCACCTCAGAAGAGTGAGTTTTTTTCTAGATGATTAGTTCACTATTTATGCTGTGTAGAATATTTTATTTTCATTGATTAAAATCTATTTTATTTACCTTTTTTAAAGCAGCATTTGCAAGACAGACTAGCAATTTAAAAAATGGCTTACGACCTGATCCCGGGACCAGGTCAGGCATTTCTAGCAAACAATCCACTTGTGTTGGTGATGTGGAAGATAGATGCATCCTTCCTGAACAGGCAATTCAACATACATTAAGCAACCATAACTTCTATTCATCTTCTACCACGAGTCCTGAGATCAAAACAAATTCAAGACCAGAAGCATATAAGCAGCACAAACATGGCTTTCTCACATTTGGTGATGTGAAAAGTGAATTTGGAATAAGAAAATATACTGAATATTCAACGAAAGATGAAACAGAATTGAATAGAACATTCGATGTAATAAGTGGTCATCAAGAAGAAGTGAACCACAGCCAGAACAACAATGATGACAGCCAGCAGGACAACAGAGGGGATCCCCACACACCATCCGCTCCCACACATGGGTCACTTTTAAACAAATCATTTGATGATGTCATCTCCGTGGTGACCTCATCAGGTGACTTCCAATCAAGTCCCTCAGGCCAGAAAAACATCAGCAAGTCGCAGGACATGGCGTCATTATGGATGGGTGGCATGGGTAGAGATTCTCTGACGAAACTCAACGACATCAAGGATGTCCAGAATGTGGCTCGCATGCAGGCAGACCGTTAGTTTCCATTCTTAACTTTTTCTTTAATTTCATATCATGTGATATTGTTACATTGTTGCATTGAAACACTGAGGATTTGCAGCCAACATGGATATTATAATTGCAAGAAACTCTTGGATTCTGATTTTAATTTACTTATAAAATTTGGTGTTTCAAAATTTTATAAATGTTCTCATTCAGAGGAATCTCCTATTGTTATGCAGAGTTAAGTTACAATATACATGAAACTGTTATTATTATTATTGTTATTATTATCCAATTCAAAATAATTCACATAAGTTTTACCAGTTCTTGAATCAACAATCTACACCTAACATATCAATCAATCAATCAATCAATCAATCAATCCTCACCAACTTGCACTTTTGTTTCTATTATTGTTGCAGCATCTCCATGTTCATGTTTTTTAGGGTGTCACATTATAAATCTTCTAGTGCTCTGCTGATGTTGGTGATAGGCTAGATTATTATGACTATTTTTATTAGTAGATGGTGATGATGAGGTTGGTGCTGGTAGTGGTGATGGTGGTGGTTGTGGTGGTAATGATGATGGTGGTGATTGTGGTGGGGGTGATGAAGAGAACGATGAGAAACAAGAAAATTATGGTGATAACTATTTCCATAATATTTCAGCGATGGTGATGACGACGACGACGATGATGATGGTGATGATGGGAAAATGATTGTTTTGAGCGGTAATAAATATGTACAATGTATATGATCTATATGCATAAAAGAATTGCTGATGAATCACACAGTTCTAGGTTGTCTAACATTTACTGAGTTTATTTTTAATTGTTCTTTGTTGCATGTATCAAGGATGTTGCTGCTTTATATTCCATAATAGAATAATGTTTTTGTTTGCAGAATGATGGTTGGTGGAATGATTCAGCCTATAATAAACTTGCATTATATAAATTTATATCTATATATATCCAAAAAAATGAGTAGGAAGTTTGGTTGATCAGTCATCAGATAATAATTGATCTGTCTTAAAATATATATATATATATATATATATATATATATATATATATATATATAATGCCGAAAACGCGGTGACCTTTATAAATAATTGTATTTATTGTATTTATGATAGTCTAAACCCAATATATATATATATATATAATATATATATATATATATATATATATATATATATATATAGTTTTGCTCAGATGTGTAGTAAAAGAAAGACAAATTAACATGGGAATAACGGCACCATCACACACATTACGCCTGCTGATAGGGGATGACGTCTGCATTTGGACCCAGCCACCACGGGACCACAGGAGCAGGCAGGCAGGCTTCTTAATCGTTATCTTTCTGACCAACAAGAGGCAATCTTGTGCAGTCGTCCTGACAAATATCTATGCAGTGAACGAGTTGTTTTCATTTTGAGACTGCATGTTTTGCTCTAATCCTGACAACATTCATCAACATTTTTTTTTTCCTAAAATTTTTTTTTCAAAGTATAGAGTGTGAAGAGTGTGATAATAGTGAAGAAATATTTTTTAAAATGTCTGTTACAAATAAATATGTACACGAATGTGTATATATATATATATATATATGTGTGTGTGTGTGTGTGTGTGTGTATATATATATATATATGTATATATAATATATATATATATATAAATATATCACGTAGGTGTGTGAGTGTGTGTGTGTGTTTGTTTGTGTGTGTACTTTTTTTAGAATGTTGTGTATTGTGTAATAATTTTTTTAGAATTACTAGTTCAAGGTTTTGCAAGTCAAGTTGATGATGATGATGATGATGGTGGTGGTGGTGTTGGTGGTTATAATGATTAATGATGATGATGATAATGATGGATTTTTTTCTCTAGGCATCTTTTGGGTTTAGGAGTTAATTTTTGTTTGAACTGGACTTTTGAAAAATATTGTTGACATCGTTTATGAAGGTTTGGAAAATGTTTGAATGCAATGAAACATCTTTTTTTCATTCACTCCTCTATTATGTGATCCAGGCTGTTGATCAACTGTTCCATTGCAGTGATTTATTTTCTCAGAGTATTACATAGTTGGTTTTAGTTCAATTCATATTTCAAATTTAAACTTCCATAATGCAGATGTCTGTTTGACTTAAAAACTTCAAGTGTCTGTATCTGTACAAAGCATGCATATTCATGATCAGTGATTTATTTTATCATTATATACAAAAATCATATACAAGACCTCTCTATTTAAACATCATGTTTTTACAAATCATCTGTATTAAACACCATGTTCATACAAATCTTCTGTGTTAAACATCATGTTCATACAAATCTTCTGTATTAAACATGGTATGTATGTATGTGATATGCATCATCACTCATAGGTAAGGCAGATTGGTGCAATGAAAACCATACTAACATTTTACAAAATCATTATTCATGCATTATTATGGCTGTCATAAACGTTTTTATTTATTTTTATTTTTTTTAACTTTGATTTATTTTTAATTATGTTTTTCATAATTTTTTTTATTTTTTAAATAATTATTTTTATATTTCAGTCAAAATTGCTTTCATTGTTGTTACATAGAAATGAAATAGCTTTTCCATATTATTTGCACTCAGGTCAGGGTGTTGAATCATTTAAATTCCTCATTGAACTTGTAGGTGAACGGTGATTGGTGTTTGATGAATCTTATGCTGACCAGGGCAAAATATCTGTCTATCTAAATTGCATTGGATTTTAGTTGAATTTTCAATATCCTAATTAATCCCTTATTAGAATATATAAAAATAAAAAGTTGCAAACAGGAGGTTAGATGTAATTTTTTAGTAATTTTTTTAAAAATGGGTCTGTCTTGGTGGAGTTTCATTCTATATATAACAGGATGGATGGGAATGTTGTGCTCCTGGCAATTGACAATCTTCGTTTAAAAAGAATCTTCCATCATATATGATGATTATTATGACAAAAATTATTTCTTTTGCAAATTGTTAATAATCACTGCTTATTTTGCTCACATACAAAAGTTCACAAACCTCACCTTGTCAACATTACATTACGTGACAGCATTACATTCATAACATTAATCTGCTTGTCTGTCTGTCTGCTTGTTTGTCTGTCTGCCTGTATGTTTTTCTATGGATTCAATCTTACCATTACAATTTATATTCATATTATAGTGGTTATAATCATGACCTGTACCTGCATGTAAATTCTTGATACAGTATTGCATATCATTAGATTTCACTGTCGTCATCATCGTCATCGTCATCTGATTGCATTTCAATCTCATCAATAATCATCATCGGATGGCCTCCTATCATTATCTCATTATATTTTTATTTTTCATATTTTCATCATTTGAGTGCATCTTTTCTTACCTATCTATCAACCTATCTCATTATATTAGGACATCATAATTCTGATTGCTTCTCATCATCGGTGCCATTATTTCTCATTATCATCATCTCACTGTGTATCACATCATCCTCATCATCTGATGGTCTTCCATTGTCTTCATCTTTGCATCTATTCATCATCATCGTCATCATCTTCATCTTTACATCTCATTATCATCATCATCTTCATACCTCGTCATCGTCATCATCAGATTTGAGGCAGACAATAAGGATGAAGTGCAGTCTACCCAGCAGAAGGTTGTCCCAGTCAACGGATCGTCTCAAATACACATCCATCCATAACATCAACATCTCCAATAATGATCATCATCATCAGGATGACGATGGTGATGCTGCTGCTGCTACTGATGCTAACAATGGTTAGATAATTTACTATTTTTTTTATTATTTTTTTCAACTATTAACAATTATTATTACTAGTTATAGTAGTTGTAGTATTAATAGCCATAGTAGCAGTTGTTGTTGCTGCTGCTGTTGTTGTTGCTGTTGTTGTTGCTGTTGTTGTTTCTGTTGCTGTTGTTGTTGTTGTTTCATGATCTAATTTAATTTCCTTTCAATTGTAAACCAATAAATAAACAAATGATTATGTTAATGATGATAATGATGATGATGGCGTAGATGATGATAATGATGAAGCCGGAAGTAGCACACAAATTATTCTGTTAAGCAACTAACTACCAAGAACCATGATAATAATTACTATTAGTGATGACATTTGAAATTAAATAAATGAATAGATAAACATATAAATAAGGTCTTTGTTCTCTGTCTGTGTGGTAGATTAGGAATTTTATACCACATTTGTGTAGATGTTAATTTTGGGCTATCATGTTTTTAAGAAGTTTTTGAATTTTTTATTTCAAGATCTTCTGCAAAATATTATGTTCACCAGACTCACTGTATTGTTACTCTAGACGTGAGTCATCTGCATTTGATAGCCTTTAGACCAGCGAGGCCTAGATTAAATTCATTTAAAATTTCATTTAAAATTTTCATTTAAAACTTCATTTAAAATTTGAAATTTTCCAAACTATAACTGACTGAAAAACTCTATCTTAAAAAATATCATTCATCATCCATAATATCATTGGCATTGAGCTGCAGCATGCAACTTTGATAACATTCTGCAATACAACCTGAAATGTAACAAAATGACGATTAAATAGTGGATGAGGATGAATAAGCTGAAACATAATTAGGCATAAGATTGCTGTAATAAGGTTGGATAACCATAAAGAAAGGAACGACGCATTGAAACAAGATTAGTGAACAAGATATTGCATGTGTGTGGTTGAGGTTGAGTGCTACAAATGTTTTTTTTTTTGAATTTTCATCTGCACATTCAGTTGATTTAATTATGTACTAAATTAAATTGAAATGAAATATGAGGCTAAGAAAATTTGAATTGTACGGTTTTGTATGAAATATTGGATGAATGAATGGATGGATGGATGGATGGATGGATGGATGGATGGATGGATGAATGGATGGATGGATGGATGGATGGATGGATGGATGGATGGATGGATGGATGGATGGATGGATGGATGTTTTATGAATATGTTGTTGGTGCCCTGTTTCAACACTGGCTCATTAATCCAGACGAGATGTAAGCCAGTTTGCAACCGCTACTGGATTACTCCAGAGATCTACTATACTGAGTGATGTAGGGTTACTGGGGCTGGAGAGTAAATGAGGTGCATTGTCCTGATGAGCTTGGCAGAGGGGATAAATGTTGTTGATACCATCATCAATTTGTAATTTGTAGCTATTGAGGAAGATGCTGGGGCCAGAATGGAGCTGGGCTAGCGTCCGCCTGGTTGCTCTGGGTAGTGTTGATTCTGTTTTTTCATTTGGGGAAGTGGGTGGATGTAGTAGGAATTGTGCAGGTAGGAGTTCAGGATGTTGTTTAATCGATAGCTTCTTGCATTCTGACAATAAATGTTCCTCTGAGGCTGCCTTGTGACGTCCTGTGGCTGGCTATTTGCAAGGCTGCATCTTGATTTCGTTGTAGGCGGATGTTGTTTGATACTGAGGTCAGTGGACAATCTGGTGATTGGAAAAGGTCATCCTCATAAAACTTGTTACTTTTTTTTATTTTCCATGCATATTTTTCATCCATTTTGTTTTACATTGTTTCATAGTTTTCTATTTTTTATATGTAGTTTGTCCGATAGCTCATTCTGCTACTCATTCAACTCATTCATCTGACAGCTCATTCATATTCTTTTCTTCATTCATTCCATAATTTTACCACCTTTTTACTTTTATTATTTTCAGATTGTCCACTGACCTCTCAGTATCAAACAACATATTTATATTTGTTGTTTCATTTTTCTTATTTATGGTTTTATTTTATATTTTCTTATTACGTTTAATTTAAATTTAAGTTCTAAATAATTTTCAGTGCAGCAGGTTATTCTATTTTTACACTTTTATATTTTTTATTTTAATCAAAACATGTTGTAACATAACTATTATTACTGCTACTACTACTGCTACTACTGCTGCTACTACTACTTCTATTACTACTGCTTTTGCCACTACTACTACTGCTGTTACTTTTTCAACTACTAATGCTACTGCTGCATCTATTACTGCTGCTGCTGTTGCTACTACTGCCACTGATGTTTCGGCTGCTGCTTCTGCTATTACTGCTGCTATCGCTACTACTAATAAGACTATATGTAACTGCATGTAACTATATATAACTGCATGTATTATAAAAACATCCCCAAGGAAACATATCTTTTGCGTCTTGGCCTGATCATTATTTGTCTGATTAGATTTTAAATGCACAACATTTAATTTTTTGGTTACCGTTTGATGAAATCTATCGTTTGCATTCAATTTTTATTAGATTATTTTGTTTGTTTTGTTCGCTTTTTTATCATTTGTTTGAATATTCTGTTAAATCTTATAGTTGTAATTAATAATAATTATAATTATTATTGTTATTATTTTGGTAATGAACTTAATCCAACATCTAATGCTAGATGAATATATAAGTTAAAATTCAATTTAATTATATGTACATTCTTTAGTTTAATACATTCATCACGCAATCGCTCAATGGAGGCTTTGTTACATTTAAATCTCAGATCAATAAACTCAGCCAAGCAGTTACTTTTATGTTGATCAGTTAATTCTTCAGACCCATCCTCCATTCAATGCTCTTCATATAAAAATTTTAACTCATTTTAGTGTTGCTATTAGTTTGGTGTGTTGTTGTGCTGGCTGGTTAATGTATAGCTATGCCATTTGTTAGCATAATTATTTTCTTTTTGCTTGTCTTTTTAATTTATGATAATTGGTTTTTCATTTTTTGTTTTTGGTTCTTCAGTTTGCCTCCAAAGTTCTTTTTTTTATATCCATTTAATGGGATACAGTAAAACGTTAGTTCACACAGTCATTCATTTAGTTGTTATTCATTCATTCTCATTCTTTTAATCCTTTTGTTTGTTCTTTATTTACTTATTTGCAATCATTTGTTTCTCATTCACTATCCATTTTTCATTCATTTATCCTCATCCATTTATTTTCCACTCGCTCAATCTGTCAATGTTCCAGCCACTCCTCCCACTTTTCTACTGCCTAGTTTTGTTTCGCTTTTTTACATTACTCATTCAGAGGATGATAACTGCTGAAGGGAGCAAACAGACTTTAAACCTGTCTTCTTCAGTAAATTATAAATTCAACATCAGACATCTCTTTGAACTTTTATTTTTTACAAACTCATTATTTTCAGATGTTGTTTTGGCTCCAGTGGGAATATTATCATAGAGTAATGTAATTTGAATAATTAACTGGTCGGCTATTCACATTTTGTAGCGTGTAATTTAAAATCAATAAACTTAAAAATAGTCATATTGATGTCGTCCCATACAAATGTTGTACAAGTGATGTTTAATATTATTAACCTGCATCTCGTCACCATGTTTCAAATATGTGAGTCATCTTGCAGTTATGACGGTGAGTCATAATCATCGTTGTCTTCGTCGTCGTCTTCTTCCTCCTCATCACCTTCGTTGTCAAAGTAAATATTGTTGTTGTTATCATGATTCATAATCACTGCCCTTGTCATCATCATTAGCACATCTTTATCATTCTGAAATGTTATGATGAAAGAGATGATTATTATTAGGCGGTGGCTTTAACTTTGATGCCAGGAATGAAGTTAACATTTAAATGTATGTTGATGAATATTTTTTGGAAATATTTATTGTGGGTAATATAAACGGCACACACACACACACACACACACAAACACACACACAAACAACTAATCACATTCATCAACTTAAATACACTCTCATACACAAACAAACATACACTACTTACAAACACACAAACATATACGAGAAGGTGCATACGCACATACATGCCTCCTACACAAACAGAGACATGAGATACACATTCATTCATTGGATTGAGGAATATTTATTACCAAGCACCATCTAGATTGAGTGCAGGCTCTTGCAGTCAGTAAATGCTTAAATTATCATCAAATTAAGAATTATTTATCGATTTGTTTATTTTGTATTTTAATTGAAGTTTGAAAAATTAGATGTATCCTTATAATAAGCATTCTTTAAATGAACATGAAAGCAAAGTGAAATCAGTATATAATTTTGTATTGTATTTTTTTAATTTTGAAATTGGTTTGGCATTAAGCACATGCACATGCACAGCAAACATTCCACTTGTTATTCCTTTTTATCTCTGTAAAAGTTCTACATATCAATTTCCTAATCACATGAATGTTTACAAAAAAATGATAGCAGTTGGCAGGGAAAAAATGTGTACCTGTATGTAATAATAGTTTTCCTTGACATTTTTTGTATGCCAAGTCTAGAAGCACTAGTCTGTGGAATATTTTAAATATTTGGCAACAATTGTTCATTATTCTTTTTATGATCTTGAGAAAGAACATTGTATGTACAGTACTGTACAGTTTATACAATGCTTAATTGATTAATTAAATTAAATTAATTAATTATATTTAATCCTATATTTTTATGTTATGTTAATTATATTTTATTTATTTATTTATTTATTCACAAAACCAGAGGGCTAAAAAAAAACCACTTATCCGGTAAGAAAAATGAAAAATGTTCGAAAAATGAATCGTACGTCTATGAATTAAGTAAAAACATAGGATAATAACAGAGATCGATGCACAATGATCGTAATGAATAATGAAGAAGTTTATAGTCAAACTTCATAGATAACTTCATATTTTAAAAAATGTACTACTGATATTATAATTGGTAAATGATATGACAGTTTTAGCCAACAGAGTTGGTTAGGCATATATGTAAATATTAAACGTAATTTAACAATAAATCACATTATAATTAAAAATCTATTTAAATCAATAGTGAGTAAATGATTTTTGAAGACAGCAAGTGAAGTTGAAGACACTACGTCTGCCGGCAATGCATTCCACACTCGGATAATCCGGATACAGTAGAAATATTTTGTTACGTTGTCTCCAGCGTTGAAATCTTGCAGTCGACATGGGTGACTGCGAGTTGACAGATAATGTGAAGGGATGAAAAAACCATTTAAATCTGTGTTGATGAGGTTAAACCTATCAATGGTCCAACCCATTGTATCCCTCAATGAGGTTAAACCACCATATATATACAGCAAGCACAAATCAAGAACCAATCTACGCCGCTCAAGTGTTTGTAGTCCTACCGCTTGCAATCTAGACAAATATGGAAGATGACGAATTGACGGAATGAATTTGGTAAATCTTCTCTGAACATTTTCTATCTTGGTTATTTGATATTTGTAGTGCGGATTCCATAGCGGTGATCAGTATTCAAGTAGAGAACGTACATAACTGCAAAAAGCCTTCACAAGTAGATCCTTATTCTTAGATGTGAAACATTTGACGATTAAGCGAGCGCGGGAAGAAGCCTTGTGAGTGATGTTGTTGATATGCGCATTAAAGTTGAATTTGCTGTCCACTATCACACCAAGATCTCTGAAGTCATTTGTACAACTGAGAAGATGTTGATCTATATAATATTGATGTGGAACTAATGTTGATCTCGAAGATGGAAGAAATGAGCAATGACAGCATTTACTCGGAGAGAGTGGCAACTGCCATTTGATACTCCAAGCTGTTATATCGTTGATGGCCTGTTGAAGTTGAACTGAGTTGGATGAACGGCTGTATAGTTTAATATCGTCAGCGAATAGCAAACTTGAAACTGAAATAGATGAAATGCGTTCAACAATGTCGTTAATGAAGACAATGAATAGAGTTGGACCCAAGACACTGCCTTGGGGGACACCACTGGTAACCGATACTGAATTGGATAATTTGTTTTGAATTCTAACAAGCTGGGAACGTTGAGACAAGAAGTCCGACAGCCAGGCAAGCAGATTACCAGATATTCCATAGGATCTTAATTTTCCGACCAGTTTCGAGTGTGACACAGAATCAAAAGCTTTTTGGAAATCGAGGTAAATGGTGTCACAGCCTTCTTTGTTCTGACGAAGTGATATCCAGTCGCTGTAAAATTGCATTAAGTTGGTGCAGGTTGATCTACCAGGTAGAAAACCATGTTGAAAATGCGTAATTAGTTTGTTTTCTAAAAGAAAGGATAATATTACTTTGTTTATAATCTTTTCCATTGCTCTACAACTTGAACTCGTGAGTGAAATAGGTCGGTAGTTGCTGGGGTGGTTTGTGGGACCCTTTTTATGAATGGGAGTAACAATAGCAGATTTCCATTTAGTTGGTAGCTGGTTATTTCTAAATGATAGATCAAAAATATGACATAATGGAACTGATAGGTTAGATGCACACATCTTCAGGACAACATTCGGTATACCATCTGTTCCAGCTGAGGTTGAATTTTTTAAGTTACGCAGAGTTGTATACACTGTATGGGGAGTGAAACAAATATCTTCTAACAAGTTGTTGGTTAGACAAGGTATGGAACAATTGGAGTTGTTATCATGTGTAAATACGGAAGAAAAATATTTGTTGAATGCATTGGCCATTATCAGCGGGTCATAGGTCACGCTATTGTCATCTAACTTTAAACTACTGACATTGGGACGCGATAGCATTTTTTTGTTGACATACTGGTAAAAACTTCTGACAGAAAGCAGAAAGCAGTTTATGTTCATTGACTATTCTGTAACTGTTTGCTAAGCCAGAACATTTTCGTGACATATTCAAATACTGCTCTTTATCATCCGGTGAAGAAGTTCGTTTCCATTTTTTCCACTAGTGAAGTTTTACTTTATAAGACTGATGAAGTTGATAGGGAACCTGTATTTTGCGTTCTTTGCTTCTCAGAAAAGATCGAGGGATGTAAGTTGCCATAAGATTGTTTATCAAACGCTCAAAAATGTCCCAACATGTGTTGACGTCGAAGCAGTGCTGAAAAGGATTGTCCCAGTTGATTAGCCTCAGGCATTCATTCATATTAGTGAAGTCTGCACTGTTGTAATTATAAAAGGAAGTGTCGTTATCATTGTTAGAGAATTTGTCAGTTGAGTTATGAGTGATGCAGTTAACTTGAAAGGTAAGGCAGTTGTGATCACTGGAAGAAAATGGACAGGAAATCTCTAACTCGACAAGTAGGCTGGCATCATCAGATAGGATCAAATCTAAAATATTATTTCCACGAGTTGGTTGATCGACAAGTTGGTAGAGCCCTAATTCATTGAAAAGTTCGATAAAAGTATTGTAGATGACGTTATTTGGTGCAGAATAATTATTCCAATTAATTAGTGGGAGATTGAAATCACCTAACAAGCAAATCACATCTACCTTGCTAAGTTCTTTGATGCACCTGGCACTATCAAACGCATATTCCTCTGCTGATTTATCAAAACCACCACTTCGATAGTACGAGATGCAAATCACATCTCCCTTGCTAAGTTCTTTGATGCACCTGGCACTATCAAACGCATATTCCTCTGCTGATTTATCAAAACCACCACTTCGATAGTACGAGATGAAGCGATAATTTTTCTTTGAAATGGAAACATCAATTGAAACTATTTCTATGTGGGAGAACTGGGATGGTATTGAAACGATCTTGTATTGAATAGTGTCATTGATGATGAAAGCCACGCCGCCACCACGTGTTGCACGATCTCTGCGAACAAAAGAATAACCGCTAGGTAAAAATAAGTTGTCAGGATCATTTGGAGTAAGCCATGTTTCTATAACAGAAAATATTTCTGGTCTGTAAACTGACAAAAATAAATTGAGATCATTTTGCTTCTTTTGAATGCTACGAACATTAGCTAAGGCCATACGAATGTGTTTATTGTTGTAGGACTGAAAGAAAGGGCTGGGCATTTTTAGAGTTGTTGTTGGTAGTTCTGATGCGACGTCTCTCCTGTCTGATCAAGAAGGCTTGTTCGGCCTGCCTTTTGGAAAGGTCAGGGTTGATGAAGATACCTTTTGTTGTTGAAGAAGAGCGGAGGATCCTTAATGAGGCAATCAGGTCCTCAGCTGCCGATGAATTGTCTAGCGTGACACATAACCTGTGGTTTCCGATACGGCGAGTTCTAGCAATTGTTGGCTTGACCGTGAGGTGGTTCTCGCATAACGATAAAACCATATCTTTGTCGTTACATCCTGGCTGCAACTCGAGACCGGAAATGATAACATTTTTAGACCGACGTTCTTCATCTTTCTTTTCCTGCTCCACTGACCAAAGGGCCCTAGTCACTGTCTCAAGCATGTGGGAGATTCAGTAAGTTTAGTTACCTGCTTTTGACAATCAGTAACACTGGTGGCCAGTGTTGACATAGCGGAGTGAAGTTCTTTCATACTACCAGTCACGGCATCGGACATGCTCTTAACGGCGTTTTCGAAGCTATTACTTAGAGCTTCCATTCTGATTGTTGTTGTTTCAAACAGCTTGCTCATAAGGCTCTCGGAATGGGCTACTATTTTGCGCAGGTTCAAACAATTTTTCTAGGTTTTTATTGGAAACATCAATAATTTTTTTCAGCTTGTCATTTGATTTTTCTAATAATTTATCTATAAATTTTAATAAATTTTCGTTTGATTTGTCCAAAATTTTTGACACAAGAACTTCAAAACTTTCGGCTGAGACATTTTTTGCCATGATGACGAAGCACTAATAAGACAGGACAGGAAAACAAAACAGTAGAACAGTTTGAAAATATTTAATTTATACAATTTTTTATATTTTTAGAAGTGACTTAACAAATTAACAGTTTTGCGGTAGAAATTAAATATGCTATAACTAGAATAAATAAGAAATTTTAAGTTTTAAATCGAGAAATTACAATATCAACAAGACGTACGAGAAGCTAACCACCATTTATATTTAATTATATTTTGTACTTAAATTTGATATAAAGTTGTTTGCATTTTGTTTTCTTCATAAAAATCTTACAGATAAAATAAGAAATGAATTTTTTGTGTTCAACATTTTTCTATTGATTTTGTTTGTTAAGTCATTTTTCAATCTAAGTCAGTTTTTTGTCTGTTCACTGAAATAGCATGCACTCAAACCTCTCTTTCATTTTTCTATTAACTCACCCATCTGTTCATTATTCAATTTGTTCATTCGTTCATTCTGTCATCTATCTATATATCTATCTATCTATCTATCTATCTATCTATCTATCTATCTATCTATCTATCTATCTATCTATCTATCTATCTATCTATCTATCTATCTATCTATCTATCTATCTATCTATCTATCTATCTATCTCTATCTATCTATCTATCCATCTATCCATCCTTCCATCCATCCATACATACATACATACATACATACATACATACATACATACATACATACATACATACATACATACATACATACATTTATCCATACATCTCACCATACATCTATCCATACAATACATCTATCTACCCATCCATGCATGCACACCAGCACCTCACTATCGGATCAGAGCTTTGAATTCCGATTCAGAAGAAGGCTTACACCAACCTGTCCCTCATGTCTCTCTCGTCAGAAAGTTCTCCAACTGCCAAGGTTAGTACTTGTTTGGTTGATGGTGATCTTTCTAATGATGATGATGATGAATATGATGATGATGATGAATATGATGATGATGATGATGATGATAATGACGTTAATGAGTCAATAACTTTTATACTGCTCACACTGGCCGAAACATTTGATGGTTTTGAAACGGCGCAATTGAACTACTTGAAGAAATGAGTAAAACCCTGTTAATAAATAATACTTCATTATGAACTTGCAGAGATGAACCTGCCTCATCCATTCAGCTTGCCCAGCATGGTGGGTAGACCGAGGCTTTCCTTCCAGCACTTCAACTCATCAAACAGACTGCAATCTCAAACTGGTTCACAACCTCTCAGACCCCCGTATGCATACAGCAGCAAGATGCTCTCAAATACCAATGAAAGTTGCAGTAACAATTTTCTGTCGACAGCATCAGAATTGAAATCTTCATTGCAAGCGCCTTCTCTTTTAAGGAATTTTTCATCTACAATCACATCTTCATCATCAATTGATCGTTCCAAACAAAATTGCTCAATAAGTAACTCATCTTCAAAAAGCAATTCTCCAACATTTCAAGTCGCACCACAACTCCAACAACATCAACAACATCTGCCCCAACAACAGCAACAGTATCAACGCCAACAACAACAACATCCACAACAACAATCTCAACTTACCAGATCTTCGCCATCACCGAGCTTAACATCATCCACATCAAAAGTGATTCGAACGCCCAGCAAGTTGAGCATGTTGCAACAACCTTCAAAACTCGCCATGAAATCCAACTCAAAAATGTTGTCATCATCATCTGCAACAGCAGCACCCAAGAACGCTCTGGCATATGATGCTGTTGATGCTGCTGATGCTGATTACAACAATGTTTCAAACTGTAGCAGTCAGAGCAACGAAAGTAGTAACAGCAGTTGTAGCTACCGACAGAACACAACAGCCGCCAAATCCTTCTTGAATGCATCCCACGTCAGCAACCACACGTCTTTAAAACCTGCTCCATCAAATCAGGACATTTCAATGAAACGAACCTGCAATGGCCCGCCTATCAAACCTTGCTACAATGGCAGCAACACTAATGCCAGCATCAAACAACCACCACAACCAACATCTGCCAGTGTTGACAACAAACAATCTTCCACATCATCATCGTCATTTTCAACATCATCAACAACTGCAACAACAACAAAAAGCATACCAAGAATGTCCAGCATACCTCGTTCCAGGCTGAAACCACCTACCAAGTTGGAATTCTTTCATTTCATCTCTACATCGTTCCTGTAATGTCTTTATTATTGTACTACATTATTATTATTATTATTATTATTATTATTATTATTATTATTATTATTAAAAAATAAGGCCTGGGCAAAACCCCTTGCCTATAACTATAAAACAAACATATATACTTTTTTTATCCTTTTGATAAAAATATATTCAAGTAATTTTATTAATTTAAAAAAATAAATTCATTTTAGTGAAAATTTTTTATAAAGTAACTTTATTTTTGTTAATTTATATTTTTAAATGTAATTCATTCCCCTGTTCTTAAAATGACCATGAAGTGTTCATGCATGAAATATTTAGAAGCTGCATGCTTTAAAATAACTCTTACATGGGTCCTTACTTTCTAGTGAGCAAACCCCTCTGTGCTTGCTAAGTCAGTTTTGCTGTGTTTTAACCATTGCTTCTTCAAGATATGCTCTTCAGAAAGGATATTTCGAGATATTTCTTTTATCACAATAATTTATTTATCCAACTCATTTTCCCATCCATCTATTTTTCCACCTCATCTTTAACCCATCAGGTATCTACATCAAACTTTTACTAATCTAATAAATAACTGCCTCCCTTATGACTCCTCTCAACTTAACTTTCCGGATTTTGAAAGAAATTTAGAAAAATTTTCAATTTTTTGAACATTTTCTACTGAAAGTACAATGTTATAGGTTCTATCCTGCTTACTCGAGAATGATGCAATCATACTTTTTGGGGTAACCTTGATGAGCATTCAAGTTTCTCTCTCCTATAATCAGATCCTTCATATATTTTTTATATATCATATCAGTCCTTTTCTTCTAGCTTTGTTTGTTGTGTGCATCACGATTCATCGTACGGACTATTTATTCCACAGGTTAGCTGCCACTGGAAATGCCAACATCAACTGAAGACGTTTGTTAGTGAAGGTGATGCAAAGAAAATGATGACGCCGATGATGATGGTAGAACTGATGAAGAAGATGAAGATGATCAAAATCTCTCACCAACAAGACGTGGAAAATGATAATGAAAATTATGGTGCTGGTGATCATTTTATGATTAGAACATTAAAGATTTCTTGACTTTATTCTCAATGTATTTAATGTTACAAATGGATGATGATGTTGGTGGCAAAGCGAGCAGTTGCAGCATTTCAAATATTTTTTTGATCCATGTTTGTATTTAATCTCAGCACATTTTTATATTCCATGATTAAGTTTCTATAACGTCATCAAATTCATCATCATCAAACTCATCATTATTGTTGTTGTCGTCGTCGTTATCATTTCAATTAGCATCACCATGTAGTCATTTTCATCACTATGACTAACTTGACGCGCCAGCCATCATCGAAAAGTTGGCAAGCAACTTATTGTCATAACTATACAATTGATATTAAAATGTTTGTTTCATTGTCATTTTAATTATTATTACTGTTATTATTATTATTGTTATTATAATTATTTTTATTTTTTAAAACTATTATTTACTATTTGTAGGTGGATTTTTTTCAAAGACAAAATTGGTTATATATATATATATACTTATATGCATACATCAGCAAGCTGCAACATATTAATGATTATAATTGTTTAATTGTTTCAACTTAGTCTAATGATGATGAAGCTTGTTGATGTTTTAGCCAGCCATGTGAATGAATGAATGATGAATGAATGAATGAATGAATGAATGAATGAATGAATGAATGAATGACTGAATGATGAATGAATGAACGAACGAATGAATGAATGAATGAAGAATTGATTAGCTAACTGAATAATTGAAAGAGTAGAGAGATGAAGGAGTGAATATATGAATAAAGACAGGTTAATAAATAAATAATTAATTAATAAAGTTAATGCACTGAATGCAAATGAATGCACTGCACGGTGTACACAATCGGATGCATTATTATGAGGATTCGGCAAATGATGCCCAATAACTAAAATTTGGTTAATGGGTAAGTGGTAAAAGAGGGAAGATTGGATAAACATCTTTTAATAGTAAATGCATGAATGATCGCAGTTATTTAAAAATGCTCGCGGACAACGCACGTCTATAAAGTTGCGTGCGAAATGTCGGAGTTGGATGAGAAATATCCAAATCCGACTCTGGTCCTTCGAAAATTTCGACTTTGACACCGGGTTAATATTTCCGAGTCCAGATTTCGACTTCCAGAAAAAATTTTCATCTTTTGCATCATAATTATACCTTATCGCTACTAAATAAAAAATACTTTGAGAAACACATAAAATCATTCAATATAATTGTTTTTCTTAGTAAAGCTAATTTATATTTTTGGAAAATAATGAAACAAATTTTGTGATTTTATTCACATTATTAGCATTTATTGTCAATATTAAGGTTGATTGCATATCGCTACACCCATTTACCTTCTAAAAAACACGACCTTCAAAAAAATTCCAAAATAAAAAATGAAAATTTTTTGAAATTGACAACATTTTCTGGATTCAGTGTCGAATAACTCCGGCCGCTCAGAAAATTCGGACTCTGGCAAAAATCTCCTACTCCATTCGACTCCGACACTGGTTGCGTGTGATCAACCGTCAAAAAACATCGTCTTTGCACTAATGTCACGTCATCAGATCAGATCACCTTCTCATCATATCAGCAAAATACCATCACATAACCATCGCGTGATTTCTCTTTCAATTTCCACTGGCAGTTGCTCAATAAATTGCTTTTCTACCTTTTTCCTTTCTTTGTGCTGCGCATGCCTCTTCCAAGCAGGCATACTAACTTATTTGGAGCCATCATCTTGTCACTCGCTGAATTTGTTGTTGTGTTGGTTTATCGTTTGTTCATCGTTTGTACATTGCTTTGCTTGTGTTTTGTTTTTATATCATATGCTTGCATTTCATTCTAATGTTTGTATCATACATCGTTTGCTTTTTGTTGCGCTCGCTTGCGAACAAAGTCGTGTATGTTGGAAATATTTTAATATATAAACGCAACCAGTGTCGGAGTTGGAAATATTTTAATATATTAAAATATCTGTTTAAGATGGTGCTTGCACGAGTTTGTTTGCAAATACGCTAGCAGGATTTTTTTATGCACGTGCCTGTCAAACTTCATCCTTCAATTTTGCTGCTCGTGCCCCTATCTCTACTCATGTATCTCTACTTTTGTTCTCTTACACTTGCTACTTATAGAATATAGGATCATTTTAAAATTATATTTTAAACAAGTTTTTCACGAATCTCAGTGTAACTTATTTCCGCAGTATTTCTAGGATATTTTAACTAAACCCACCAGGTTTTTGATCGTCTTTTCGTTCCCACTTGTTGAACACTTGCCTTTTCTGGTCATTTTCTCTGGAACTCTCTTCCTCTGTTTTTAACTATTTCTCCACTTTTTCCACTACTTACGAAGTTCAGAGCAGATCTCAAGACCCTTCTGTTAGCTAAACTCATTTAAATGCGCTGTTGAGCTTTTTGGAAACGGCGCTTCATTTCGAATTATGCAATTATGTTGCCTTTCTTGTTTAATATGTATGTGTGTGAATGTTTTTGCTTGTGCATACATACCTTTTTCATGTTTTTGTGTGGGTATGGATACTTGTGATGAGATAGGTATGCATCGTGTTTGTGCCATGTATCCATGTCGATTACTTATAATCAGTTTTGATTAGTTATTTCAACTACAGTTGTCATGATCGCAATTTTTTGCAAACTTCATACAAACCAAAGTTTGTTCAGTGAATTCATCTTAAAAGTGAATTGTTACAATCATATACCGTAAACTAATCTTATTAACCACAACTCGTTTTTAAGGAAAAGCTGGATTACGTTATTAATTTAGATAAATAATATATGTATACACGAATGAATAACTAACATCATCTTCATTTTCTTAGTCACATTTCATTCGTTCATTAGTTGTAATCAGCATCGACATCGTCGTCGTCACCATTATCATCAAAAATAGAAGTAACACCAAGTGCCTATTATGTTTTTTAATCATTTTAAAAGCTTCAGTTTTTATGTTTGTTTCCATTTGGTTATACATTTGTCAACGTCAGTATTTTAAACAAGTTCTTTATGAAACTAATTTGGAACAAATCTCTCTCATTACAATTTTTTATTATAACACCATTCATCTTGAAGAAAAAAAATAGAAGTTATGGTTTTATTATGATCGTTATTCATACATTTTTTTATAAATAAATTTACTATTAGCAGATTTGTTAAGTATTATTTTTAAAATATCAAAATAGTATGAAATGGATTAAATTGTACCAGGCATCGTAAACCTCACATTATCCTCCATCAACCATGCATGCGTTGTATATTTATGCCTAAATAGATTAGCATTGGCGTAAACGTAACAAATCTGTGATTAATAATTAACAATCTGACCACTAAGAACAACAAATGAATGTTTAAATGTAAATCTAACATCGCCAAACGAACATTCGACGGATTGGCGTGGTTCGTGAATTCCCAGACTTACAGCCCGTCAATTTCTGCTGGTTATACTACTACATAAAAATATTTATCTAATTATTCATTCAACTTTCTCTTAAACGATTCTCGGAAGACAATTGCATAATAAATTAAAATTGATCCAAAGCAGTAAACTATATACACATTTTCTAATGACAAGACAAACCAAATAAAAGCCAAAAGAAAAAACCATCAACAAAAATAAATCTCGAACAGTAGGCATACATTAATAAAAATAAACAGAAAATAGAAATAAAATAGGAATAATGATAATATAATGATAGCCATTAATAATGACAATAATAATAATATTTAATAATACATCAAAATACGCCCGCTCAAAACGTTAAAGTTTAAGACGACAACAGAAAGAAGTTAGCGACTTGAAAAAGAAGCAGACATGACTACAAGAATGCAACACAAAATGGCTGATTCAAAAAACTTTTATCTCTTAACGACGCAATAGGCCTCAGTATTTAAAATCCGTCGAATCCAACCTTACGCGTCAGTAAATCAACAGGCTTACAATCAGACTTCTATTTTTCCTGTAGCGTTGAAATGCGGTGTACTTTTTTCTAGATTTATTGAATCTAAACTAGATAGAAATGACTTGTCATTTTTGGTTTTTATCTATTCAAATCAATTTTTTTTCAAATTTTTTAACGTCTTGTATTTTTTGCATGAACACTTGGCTAAAACTGTTCATTGAACAGTTTTAGCTAAGCGAGCTATTTCCAGCGTGCCACTTTGTGTAAGACCTCTTCACTCAACTGAACCTGTATTGTTGAGGGTTGAGAATGACATTATTGCAATTAGATAATGGGAAGATTGCTCTTCTTGCTCAGCGTGATTTATGTTCGGTTATTTATAAGGTTTGAACATTCTATTTTATTTATTCGTTTTGAAAAATATTTCTGTGTTACTGGTGTAGCTCTTAATTGGTTGTTGTCATTTCTGTCGTCCAAGAATGAAATGTCCACTGATTTGCCTTTTGTGACCAGTGTCTCACAGAGTTCTAAACTTGGCTGTCTTTTGTATTTGATGCATGTTTCTGACTGTGTGTCCTGAATAATCGTTGTATGCTGACGCTATTTAGATCCATCAGGCTGGTACTTTGAATTGAATGCTTTATCTTCTGAAATTGTTGGTTGAGTAAAAAAATAGGAATCATGGACACAAAAGAATGTTATGACTAACAATATCAAAGGCAGGAAAAAAAGAATAAGGAGAAGAGTAAACTTATCTGTATCACTAGAGAGATAAGCATTTTGCGTATTTAGCAAAAAGGTTTCAGTGCATTAAGCAGGTCAGAAACCAGATAGGTAGCAATTAGAGTTTGAATAAAAAGATAATTGATTATAAACATCCATTATTTTAGAAATGACTAAATATTACTGACAGGTTTATAGTTAGATAAAGAGAAAAGATCTACAGATGAGTTTTTAAGGATGTGTGTAACACTAGATTTTTTATAAGATGTAAGAAAGTTTAATGTTAACTGGTAGTCAACTGATAGTGAAAGTATAACTAAAAATTAGTGCTTTAATTGAAATTAATTTTTATTACAAAAGCCTAGATAGTCCACTTTAACAAAAATATCATTAACAAGTCAATTAAAAACCAGCAATTGCAAAATAAACCTACAAATATATATGCAAAATAATAACTTTTTAAATGTCTTAATAATTTTACTAAATGAACTTTACCAAAATTTTCATTTGCACAAACTTGGAAACTAAAAATGTTAGGTAGTTCATCAAAAAATTCAAAAAAAGGGCAACTTTGAAATGCTTGATAAAAATTTGTTACGCCAGCATTTATTAAGTTATTTTATATTTGAAAGCAAAATGCATGCATGTCTTGACCGCCTATCAATCAGGACTATCTTACTCACCTTTAATTCGGTGCAAACCTGTCAACAAACTGAGCCACAAACACGCACGCACACATACACAGCACCACCATCACCTTACTCATTCAATTTAATCAAACTTTCACAGGAATAAACCAGCTAAATATCACATGCAGAAACAATTGGCACATTCGAATGAGATGTGCGAAAAGATGGCAACAACAAAACCGCTTGTCGTATTATCTAAATAAACCCCAAACCTAGATATATATTATATGGGTAACATCATCAATATCATTACCATCGATAACGATGGTCAAATTAAATTTACATACCCATAAATAATAAATAAAAATAAATGAAGAACCGTCATAATAATGTATCTTCCGTTATTTAATGAACGTTTGGCGAATCAGGTGGGATCAATGTTTCCAATCAATCAATCTTCGTTTAGCGTCCAGAGACCCAGTTTCCCGAGGTAGGACGTTTCCAATGTTTCCAACGCAATCTTGCATTTTATTATATCCAATATTATGAAGATGGCAGTTGGTGGACTGGTCTCGCTGCTCGCTAGGTCACGAACGCAGCGATAGAAAAAAATACATGAATGTACGAATTAAGGAATTAATTGACGAATGTTTAATAACTATCAGTATGAATTGATGAGAATGTAATACTTGAGTCATCAACAACAGTTTCATAGATAAATGCAACTATATTTGATTTAAAGACAAATACACATACGTCGCAGATTATATATAAACAGATATCCAAGTGGATCTGTTGGTAAACAACAAACATAGTGAATCTTAAGATACATCGTATGACATAACAAATAGCATCAACATTAAGATAAAATATGTAAAAGAATATACATTGCTTGTACACGTCACACTCACGCTAATAAACATATGCACAGTTGCATTATTTGTAGAATTCTGCATCCGACGCACGAACATCTAAAAAAATAAATCTAATCTTAATATAATTAAAAAAAACCTAAAATAAATGAAAATTAAAATAACAAAAAATAGCATTTTGTACTAGAATAAGTTTTAATAACTCTAAATTGTTGTAAATAGCTTCAAAAACCTAAACTTTTAACGAAAATAGGCAATGATAAGACTATATGGAATGTATTACAATCTTCACGAATGCAGCAAATATGAACGTTCACGTGTTAATATACCAATTATATGAACATGAACGTGTGCGGATATGATATGGCCTTCAAGTACAAGGTTTTGTTTTAAATGTTATACAAAATTAATTTAAATGCTCTTAACAAAATAATTTCTTAACGCTACTGACTAATTGTTTTTAAATATTCAGATCGATTGATACTAAAGTTAAATGCATACAATAATGTGAATGAAGACCTTAGATGGTCAGCCCATGTAACATTTTGGCAAACAACTGAATGTAATAGAAATCTATTGGTTTATATATACAATGCTAGGACGTTAAACGAACATAAAAACGCACACATACATATATACGCACATACACACAAGCAAATGTGTGCTAAGAGAGCATGAACATTAATGTAAACTAGAAACTTTTATCTTATCGCAAGTTATAGCATCCACATTAATTAGATCCATACATTCCATTTCACAGGATCAGCCTGATGCCCTACCTCGTAACTTCGTAAATAAGTTTTCATTTAATTAATGAAACGGGAGCTGGGAAAAAATTCATTTATTCTTTTTGTTGGTTAGCGTTTTGTCGATCATTCTAGCTAACTTATTTTTCTTCTTAGGAGTATTTGAAATGTTCAACCTATTGTTCAACTCGCTGTCTACCTCACAGTTAACATTTTTCTCATGTTTCCCTTCCTCAGCAGTTTCCTCCAGCGACTTCTCGCTGATAATTAAGTTCTTCATCTTCATCGTTTCCCCTCTGAAGTTTCCAGCAGCCAAGAAATCTTTGAAGAGGCTTCTGCAAGGAACCTCATCAGGACTCAACGACGGAGATGAATCGGAAATGTAGAACATCGAATCCAATTTGTGGTGTTGGACGAAGTTGCCGTGCGTTTTCGAGTGAGCCAGTTTGCATCTGTTAAATTCTGAAAGATTTTGTAGTGGATTGATGATCGGTTTCTTATTAGGGAACTGCAAAGACTTTGCAGGTGCATCGATGAATGATCCTGGAAGTGATGAACGACTATCGTCCCGACACATGCGGACTGACAGACGGTCCCCGACCTCGGTCTCACCAACTGGTTGATGAATCACTGCAAGAATTAATGAACAATAACGTGTTTCACCGCGTTGCCAATCACTCGAATTATTCGGCAATCTTCTTATAATAAGCATTAGTTACCACTAGACTAATGATGAAAAAACTTATTAAAAAAATACTATCAATAAAAAGAAAATGTCAAAACAATATGCAAATAACTAGAAAGCTAAGAAACATGATGTGACAGACCATTTGAATTGAGTCCGACAGCCGTCAGTTGCATGCCAACTTTGAACAAGTTGGATATTATTGGGTAGGTGTTCAAGTAGCCTGCAAAATGATGATCAACGGTAATATAATACAACGGTTGCAACAAATTTACAACAAAGGAGACATGTATGATTAAATAAACCAAGAAGCAAACCCTCAGCTGGCTATTTTTCCGCTGCATTTAAAATTTAATTTTATTTCATTTTCTCAATTTTCTTAGCCCCACTTATGTGAAGATCAAAGCTGTTTTTTCTTAGTCCTTCACTCACTATCCTCTCACAGCTTCCTTCATTTTAGTCATTTTAGCATCATTTCAATCTTCATTTCTCTTTATTCCTCCTCAATGCTGTAGAAAACTCCACCACCGCCACACCAACGCATTCCACCACGATGTATCGCCCAAATGGTGGAAGATTCGCACGATGAAGTTGGTGGAAGACAACGTCGAAAAGCAGTTAAAGGCTTTGAAGCACAAAGTTCATACGGCAAGGAGTTCCACACGAAAGGTGCGAAAACAAAAAAAACTTTTATCTCCATAGGACGTTCTAATCTACTCGGCGTTAATAACAATCCATCAGTGGAAGACCTAAGAAACAACTTACATGTTGGCAAACCAATAGACACATGCAAGCAGACCTAGATAATCAGGACAAAGACAATTAACACATTAGCTAATACCACAGTTTTAAATAAAATTCGTTGTTTAACAGGAAGCCAGTGGAAAGATTTTAATCGTTCAGAAATATGGTTAAACTTTTTCAGTCCAAATATTAACTTTGCAGCCGAATTTTGAACTAACTCAATAGACCGAACAAATTAAAATAGTCTAAACGTGTCAAAACGAAAGCCTAACAACATCTCGAGTCAAAAAAAACTTTTCAATCAACTTTCAATTCCTAAGATAAAAAACAGAAAATTGAATAAAATAAACACAAAACAATCAAAAAGATTAATTCATCATTAATGACAACCACCAAACTTCAATTTTATATCAGACCCTATAAACCAATTTTATAAAGTGATACCCTTAAACCAAGCCACAACAATTCAGTTTTATTAATATTGTCATTTTGCTCAACATTCATCTTATCATCAAAAAACATGATGGTGGTTGAATAAATTAAACATACTTGAAGCAGTGGACGATCTGGTCAGTTGATTATTGGCCGGCGTGTATAGGGACACTGAAATGTCAACGCAAATATTACATAATTACATATTGAACATTAACCATATCAGCATACTGTACACATATTGATACATTGAAAACTTTTTACGTAACATCTGAGTTGCTAAACCAAATGAAAAAAAACTATGTTGTGGTGGTGGACTGACTTCTGGAGCCCCTGAGTAGCGAGTTTAGGTAGGAGACGCCAGGGTTCGTTATAATGTTGAAGCTGGTCAGTCTTTCTATTTCTTTCCACCTCAAACACCTCTCCTCCATCTCTCTCTTCAGTTCGTCTAGTTTATCTCTGATATCATATGTAGTATAAATAAATATGTGTGCGTATGTGTATGTGTGTGTATTTTTATGTGTGTAATGGATGTTGTTACCAAGACCAATCAATGGTGTGATGGTAAGTGTTCGTTCATATAGTACTAATGCTGTGTTAATATCATGAAACATATATTGCATATGTTGGCGTTTATCTGATTACAACATGTATGACTGTTGCTGAACTGTTAAATTAACTGACGAAGGTTACCAGAGTCAGGCAGAGTAAGATTATAAAAAACAAAACTTTTCAACAAAATATGCACACTTTATTCGTCTGTTAACAAGCCACAACGAAAAGTTGAACATCAGCAAGAAGAGCTTCGAAGTCATTCAGATTGGCAACAAGCGATATACTTTCTATTTAAAATCTTAAAGTATATGAGATATTTTAGGATTTTAGAAAATTTTTGCTCTTGAGCAAATAATTGAAGATAATGAAAGAGAATTAAATATATTGTGCAAGGCTCTGGAAAAAAGTTTTACCTTTAGTTTTGAAAGAACTTTTACCTTTGTTAAAATGCAACGGCTGCAGAGAAACAAAAATGGAAAAAAATTTTAAAACACGAGACAGATGCTTGATTTGAAAAAAATTGAAAAGAAGATTGAAAAGGTGAACTTGAAAATAGCAAAAAATAAATCTGAATGAAGATGCTAAGTGATGGTATCAGATGTAAAAGGCGATATTCCAATATTAACGCTGAGCACCATACATCCAATGGCAATAGACAAATTAAATGCACAGATGTTGCACGTATATTTCATTGAAACATTCATTTAACAAATATCATATTAGAAAGAGCGTTGAAGGACTCTCTGTGTGATGAACATACTTGACGAGGTCAGTCCTATCTTCCGTTTGATTCTGCTTCAACGATCCAAACAGTTTGAATCTCTGCTTCTTTATTTTCTCACACTGATGGGTTGAAATTTTTAAATAAACAGGCAAATTTTTATACAAATAAATGTCAAAATCAAAAAGTTTATGTTATAAATTTAATTATATTAAATTAAATTAAAATATGAAAAATGATCCCTATTCTTAAAAATAACAATAAATGAACATAACCTTCGAAGCACCAACAAAATAACCTAGATAGAAGCAATCCTTATAAACTGCACAGCACATCATATACAAATACAACGACATGAAAGAGTAATGAGGTCGTGAACCTTACAACCTAGGATTGCACCGGAGACCAGTTGCTGTTTTTCACTATACGGGCGTATTCGATTCTGGCAAGCAAGGCATATAGCAAGACAGGAGAGTTGGCCGTATAGTCAAAGTATACTCAAGTGCTTACATTCATATTAAATCAAATGAAATGGACGTGTCAGTATTTGTAAGGTGCCACTCAATTAATCTGCAAAAGCCCCGGCTTCGCTAGTACACATTAAATGAATGATTTTTAGACGTTTGTAAAAAACATTATGGCTTGTGTGGCTGAAAGGACTTGAATATAAACAAATCAGTTAAAGCACGAGTTTCACGGGACCCTCATATCAAGGAATGCATCGAGCTACTAATGTAAAGGGACCAACCACTTGTTTGGCCTCCCTCAAGTTCTTCTCAACGATGGCCTTCTTCTGTTCAAATGCCTTCGACTCCATCTCATATGTCAGTTGAAGCCATTGCTGCAGATGCGGCATGCACGTCTTCTTCTTTTCCTCCAACAATCGCTCCGCTTCCAACAGCTCCATCTTCCTCTGTGTGTTTCAGGATTTGTATGATCATTTGATGACAGTGGTAGAGGTGGTAGTGATTAAAAAATAAACAAAAAAAAGTGTTATGAGGTGTAAAATAAAATGATAAACAAACTCTGAGACATTTAAGCAGGTCATGAAGCATCGTGACATTCAAATTGTCTACAATAACGATTATTACAAAAATGTTCCAGCAGTGAAAGTCTAACAGATATACAATGTTAAATACCGTTCACAAGTTTAATGAAGAATTGAATCACGCCATGAAAAACGTGCATGTAGAACCTGAAAGAGTTCTTCCCGCAGAGAGGCGAGATTCATCAAAGCATCCTCCCTCGCAGACTCACCGACATCCCCATCACAATCCTTGCCACCATCACAACATCCTTCTGTGAGATCTTCCTCGTTTGAACATTTGCAAAAGTTTCCAGTGTTCTTAGTTAGCTTGAAAAAGAAACAAAATCATAACATCAAAGTCATAATCGCATCGTGATCATCAAAATCGCCACCATCACCACCACCATCATCACCACTATTACCACCACCATCACCACCACCATCATCATTATTACCTCTTTCTTGTTCATTAGCTTCCTCACCAACTCATCCCTCTCATCTTCCTCAATAAGACGCTGCCTCAGAGACTCGTCCAATCTGATCATCAACAACAACAACAACAATAATAATAACAATAGCAACAACAACAATAATAATGATGATGATGACGATTATTAAAATAAAAACAAAGCGATGATGATGTGATGATGATGACGACATATTACTGAAAATATGATGGTGATATGCTGATGATATAACTAACGATGAGGAAAACGCCGTCGAATCATCAACTCCGACGTCGCCACCACCTTCGCCATCGTCGGACGTTCAACAACAACCTACGACAACAAGCCACCAGACGCTAGAAAATGTTGAAAACACTGAAACGCCTCTCCTTGAAATCAGACTTCCACGAAGCCCTGCTCAATGGCTTGAGGCCAACACGTATTTTCAACTTCACCAATCAACGCTACCAAATCTCACCAATTTGAATGAATTTACAATCGGTTTCCAAACCATGATCTACAACTACTTTGCCTCCAACTTCGGCACCATCAACAATAAAATTAAATCGGACGGAGGTACAAAAACGTCAATTAAGTTGTTGAAAAAAGAATTAAAACAACTTAAATTCTTGGGCCGCAATAACCATCATTTCGGCAACCAAATAAAGTCGGTTAGCAAAACGTTGAGATCGAAGTTATCGTCATCAAAATCTTCCGACTCAACTAAACGACACAACACAACAAGCCAACTCAAACGTCGATTTTGGTGGTTTTGCAAAAAAGTTTTTAATTCAACAACAACTTCATACAGCGTCACCGTCTGCAAAAACTACTTTCACTCCATCCAAAGCGACACTCACAACAACAAGCAACAGCTGCCAAACTGGATCCCAAAACTCTGAACGCCGCCAATACCTTGCAACACAGATCCTCCCAGCTACAACGAAATCTCAAAAATCATTCGAAAATATAAATCAAGATCATCCCCATGCCCACTAGACCAGATCTCAATAATACCATTCAAAAAATGCCAAATTCTCAGAACTATTCTCCATCGTCTATTAATCCAATGTTGGTCATCTTCTTCAATTCCTTCATGCTATAAAAAAGGATTTACGATACAAATCCACAAAAAAGGTGATACCAACAACCCATCGAACTTCCGCCCAATAGCACTGCAACCAACACTATACATAATATTTTCATCGTTCATCAACAATAGAATGTATAGCTTTTTTGAAACAAATAAATTAATAAATAAAAACATTCAAAAAGAGTTTTATCCTAGAGTTGATGGATTGGCTGAGCACACCCAGATGTTAACGCACATGATCAACAATGCTAAGAGACACCACGTACCATCATCGTCACGCTCTTAGATCTTCGTAACGCATTTGGAGAAGTCAGCCAAAACCTCATCTCCTCAACGCTAGATTATCATCACATTCCTCTTCAAATTAAAAATTTACTAAATAATATTTATGTCGATTATTCAATCTCTGTCTCTGGTTGCGAAAGCTTAACTCCTCCCATTCCCCGCTGCTGTTTAATCTGTGTTTTAATCCGTTGATGAAACTAATTGAAAAAAAAGAATTTCAGCAATGTGGATATATATGGGGACCCACAACCAATCTAAAAACCAGAGCTTGGCTTCAGTTTGCCGATGACACGGCCATCATTGCCAACAGCACTGACAGTGTCCAGAAATTAATTAATCTGAACCAAGCCTGGTGCAAAGCAACCGAAATGAGTATGAGGATTGACAAATGCTGCGCCTTTGGCATGAGAAAGAAAAATGGCATATACGAACAGTTTCTCCCAAGGTTGACCATTGACGATAAAGCAATACCAGAACGTTGAACTTAATGGTCGTTTCGAAAACTTGGGAAAAATTTACGATTTTGAAGGACACGACTCAAAGGCGAAAAAGTTGCTTGTCGATAAACTCCGACACATGTTGTCGGTTATAAACGGGTTGGACATAACGCCACAATAGAAATTGCAAACATTAAGGCAATACATCCCATCCCAGTTGGCGTTCGAACTTCGCACTTACGAAATTCCGTTGACTTGGATAGGCAACAATCTGGATCCATTGATTGCTGAATAGGTTAGAAACTGGTTGGCCCTGCCAATTAGCAGCTGCGTGTCGGAGTGTCTATCACTCCCTTTCAAATCAGGAAGATTGAATATCATATCAGGTCATTGAAGAGTTACGCAGAAGCGTTAAGAGTCAAACTTCGAAGTTACCTCAAAACTCATGCCAATGAAGAAATAAGGTGTCTACATGAAGAATCTTTCAACAGTTACATCGAAATAGAAAACATCCTTCCTGAATCAGCTGAAATAAAACCAACACTCAAAGCACTATTGGCGGGTCAACAAAAGTCCGACTATGTTCATCTATCATCACTTCAATGTCAAGGGATGTTAGTTAAAGCGATTAAAGATCATATTCCAGAAATCCACATATATCAATGGTCGAAGTTTACAAAAGGTCTACCAGAGGTTTTATTCAAATTTGTCAGAAAGGCTCTCATTCAACAACTTCCAAAAAAACGCCAACCTCTACCGCTGGGGAAAGATGCCAAATGCGCTGTGTCCACTATGTCAGGCTCGTCAAACTAACAAGCATATATAAAAAGATATATAAAAAAAAACCCGTCACAATATACTATCGATGATTTTAGAAAAAATTCAATCATTTGCTGGTGCGGATGTATTAATCTACGCATATTCCAACTGCAGCAAATACCTTCCAGTATCATCTCTCTTCAAATCACTTCGTCCAGATATTGCCATTCGACGAGGTGATACTATCGAAATACTGGAATTAACAGTTTGTCATGAATCTAACTTTTCTAGATCTAAAGAATATAAAACATCAAAATACTTTCAAAATCTTAATAACAATTTGATAGACGAACTGAAAAACTCAAATATTATAATAAATTCATTTGAAATTTCCCCGCTAGGTTTTTTTAAATATTTTAAACTATCATTAATTAGTTTTATTTGGTCTGATCCTTTTCATAGAAGTTTAATTAATTCCGTAGTATCGTCATCTTACGCAATTTACTGCGATAGGAACACGATTTGAACATAATTTAATGCTGATTCTATTTTTCTTTGTACCCATTTAAAATGTATGGCGAGCATTGTAGATTATCTATATAACTAACATTATAAGTTTTATTACTTTAACTTCATAATTACAATGTATATTTTAAAATGAAAATAAAAGGATGTTCTCATTATTATTATTATTATTATTATTATTATTATTATTATTATTATAACGATAATGATGATGATAATTGCAATCATAATAAAATAATAATGCTGAAAACAAAATCCGAATTATATATCGTCATAACCTATAAATTGATGATATTATCGTTATTATCATTATTTATTATTGTAATTATTTATTATTATTATTACTACTACTACTACTATTATTATTATTATACTATTCGGAAATATAAAAGCTGGCTGTTTACGTTCAGCTCAATGTTTTTACGCATAATTTCAATTTTATTATTATCAAATTAGAGTTGATTCTGCTGATTTTCAAAATTGCGAGGAACATGGCGGTATTTTTTAAATTAAGTTTTAACTTTTTAAGAACTTCATCATGATCAAACTTGATTAAATTTCAATAACTCTTCACCAACTTTTAGTTAAATGTTGGGTACTCCGCAAAACCCCAACCTTTAGGAGAATGGCTTTACAATTCTCATCTATAAAAAAAAAGGCGACGCTCACGATCCATCAAATTTCAGTGTTTACGAAGAGTTTTTTCCGATGCTGTTTAATGACGACAAACACATTCCTCAAGTTTTATATTGGAGGCTACTTCCTATATCTCGGTAAGTTATACGACTTCAAAGGAAACAACGAAGAGGTCAAAAGTCAAATGAGCAACAAACTGAACTGTCACTGAACTAAAAACAACGGTACGACCTAAATTGAAGATCCTTAGAAATAACTTTCCATCACAGTTTGCGTTTGAGTTTCGCGCCTACGACGTTTCGCTGACCTGGATTGAAATGAACTTAGATCCCTTGGTCACCGAACATGGCTGTCGTTGCCAATTAGCAAATTAGCAGTTGTCTATCAGAAAGCCTGTCGCTCTCATATAACTCAGGTGAATTAAATGTTAGATCACTCAAAACTTTTGCCAAAACTACCTAGAGTCAAACAGCAATAAAAAAAACTAAAATGTTTATGGAGTCGCTCAACTTCCCTCAAGATACTCAAGACATTAAGCTGACTTTCAAAACGCTAACGACCCGGCAAGAAAAAGCAGAACTAGAACATTGGCTGTTGCTCCGCTACTAAGGAACAGTTTTGAAATCGATTAAAGATGACATTCCCGCGACCCGAATTGCTCAATGGTCGAAGTTTACCGTAAGCCTTGCAGAGGTCCTATTCAAATTCGTCAGGAAAGCCTCATTCAACAGCTTCTTACAAACGCAAATCTATTTAGATAGGAAAAATTATCAACTATCCTTTGCTCGCTTTACAATGATCGACAAACCAACAAACATGTTCTGTCCAACCGCAACTCAGTGTCGGCACTGAGAAGATAAACCACACGCCACAATAAAATTTTGAAAATAATTGTAGACAAATTAAAGTCATGTGCGGGGCCAGAAATTTCAATATTCGCTGACATGGACTGTGATGAGATCGGCCCAATGTCGTGATTTTTCAAATCACTACGTCCTAAAATCACATTACTCCGTGGAAACACGATCGAAATATTAGAACTAACGGTCTGCCATGAATCAAACTTCCCTAACTCAAAACAATATAAACATAAACTGTCTAAATATTCTAATTTGCATAGCAATTTATTTGACGATTTTAATCATTTTAAAATAACAATAAACACTTTCAAAATTTCGCCACTAAGTTTTTTGAACAGTTTTAATTTGTATTAATTAACTTACATTGATTTAAACGTTCCCGGCGTCCTACATTTAGGACATGTAAAAAAAATTTTTTGATATAAAAAGTAAGCGTTATATAAATATTGTATTTTTTGTCATGTTTTAGAAGTCTATGTAGTCTGCTTTTAAAATATAAACAAACTGATAACAAGTTTATTTTACTATTTTCAATCAATTTCATTTTGTTTAAACGATAAGATTTGTAAATTTTTAGATATGTCCCGACAACGGTTGGTGCTACTAAATCATATTTTTAAAAAGTTTTTTAATTCTATTTGAAATATTATCTTCAAAGTCCATTGTCTTAACTGATGAAATATTGAATGTTTCAGTAACATCTCCTCGCCGTAGTGATCATGTAAAAAGTCCTGTCCTACATGTAGGACGTAGGGCACAAAACATTATAATATCCATATAGTTTTACTATATCCACCCATTGTTATCTATAAATAATTTTTATGCAAATGTGCACCATGAAAAGGAGGCATGGAATCAGTATTAATAATTACACATAACATAATAAGAATAACATAATTATAATTTTGCAGAAAATACACGCTCCACGAAGTTATGACGATGCTGGAAGATAGTCCAGATTCTGTGCCATCATCTGGTGTTGATATTTTTTTACAACCTCCTGAAAATGCATGTGGAGACATTACGGACGAAGATTCGGGAAACGAAGACATTCTAACAATCAATAATCTCCCGGCGAGTCTGTTACGTGCTGATGCTGAGAGAAAAGAATTATCTGATGATGATAATAATTATGATGTCAACGATGATGAGAGTCAGCCAACTACATCCAGTTGGAAGCCACCCAAAAAAAAATGAAGGTGTACACCTGGAATAAAAGTGACCTAGCTGAATCAGCAATTACCTCAAGGGCATGGGTAACTAAAGATATAGTTAAAATTGATGAATCACCAATTGACCTTTTTCTCAAATTTTTTGATAAGGATTTGTGCAGTCTTTTCGTTAACAACACCAATCATTATGCAGCTCACAGGAACAAGAACCTTGACATGACCGTGGAAGAGCTGAAATGCTTCATAGGAATTCTTCTTTTGAGTGGTTATGTTGATGTACCACGCCGTCGAATGTACTGGCAGCAGTGTGAAGACACGCACAATGCCATAGTCTCCGCAGCCATGACTAGGAATCGTTTTGACGATATCATGTCATGTCTTCACGTTGTTGACAGCATAAGCAAAGACGACAAGTTTGCAAAAGTTCGTCCTCTTTTTGAAGCCCTGAACAATAAATTCCAAACATATGCCCCTCATGAAGAAAATCACTGTGTTGATGAGGCCATGGTGGCTTACTTTGGTCGGCATGGTTGCAAGCAATTTATAAGAGGGAAACCAATTAGGTATGGATTCAAGTTATGGGTTGGTTCTACACGACTTGGTTATGTGAATTGGATCGAGCCATATCAAGGTGTGGGTACAAGGATTGACCCCAAATACAAAGATCTAGGCCTTGGAGCAGGTGTTATACTTCAATATACTGATGTACTGTCAAGGATGGGTGACTACCCATACCATATCTTTTTCGACAACTTTTTTACGTCGATACCGTTGCTGTCAGAACTTTCACAAAGGAATTTGAAAGCAACAGGAACTATTCGAAAAAACAGAACGTCAAAGTGTCCTACCCAGGACACAAAAACTATGAAGAAAAATGATCGAGGATCATACGACTTTCAACTAGCTAAAGATGCTAACATCGTTGTGTGCAAATGGAATGACAACAGTGTTGTGTCCATTGCTTCAAATGCATTAACTGTAAAACCGACACACACTGTTAGCAGATATTCGCAAAAACTGAAAAAGAATATTGCTGTTCCGCAACCGCATCTCATCCGCGTCTACAACGAAAATATGGGGGGTGTCGATCGCTCTGATCAGAACATAAGCTTGTATCGTATATCTATAAGAGGAAAGAAATGGTATTTTCCTCTAATATGCCACTGTGTAGATCTCATTGAACAGAATTCTTGGCAGCTCCACAAATCAGGCATAGGTACACTGGATCATCTACAGTTTCGACGTCGCATTGCTACCGCTCTTTTAGAGACCAACTCCAGAATTTCAAAGAGTACAGGTCGGCCATCACAAACGGAACATATCGACTCAAGATATGACCGATTGGATCATTTAGTGGAACCTCAAGATAAACAAACAAGATGTCGACACTGCCATCAGAAATGCACAACTCGTTGCAATAAGTGCAACATTGGTTTGCGCGTGAAGTGTTTCATTGACTACCACAAGAAATAGACAAATTAATTGCTTTTATTTTTTGATTTTATTATCTGTTATGAAGTTTCATTAGATTTCAGAGAATATGAACCTTTAAGAATGTTGATGTTTGTTTGTGTGTGTATATGTTCCCAATGTCCTATATGTAGGACAGCTGTTTTCTCAATGACTAGTGACACCATAATTTTTTTTAATTGTATCTATTTCTGGAACTTAACTTGACCAGAATAATCATAATATTGTTTAAATTTCTGAAAAAAAATACTCTGGGAACAACAACATTATCTACTCAGCAATAATGTCATCATATGCCATTTATTGTGATAGAATCATTAACTGAAAAAATCATTTAAAACTAATCTGTTGAAAAAATCATTTAAAACTAATTTGTTCTAGTTGTACACATTCTGTATATGATGACGAGCTTCGCAAAATATTTTGTAAAAGTTTATAATATTTTATAATAATTTCTATTTTATTCTATTAAATTTTAGTTATCATTGACAATTAATTCTTCTTTTTTATGAGTGTATTATGTTGCAAATAAAAAAACGTTCCCATTATTATTATTATTACCATAATTATTACTATTATTACTGTTACTACTACTTATTTTTATCATTGTTTATTATTATTATTATAGTTATTACTGTTATTTTCATTATTTATTATTATTACTATTAAATTCAGCATAATATTGAAATTAACACAAAACTGTAGTAGTGAATAAACAAATAATTGTGAATTAATTTGGAATAAAAAAAATCAATCAATCAATCAATCTTCGTTTTGCGTCCAGAGACCCGGTTTCCCGAGGTAGGACGTGACTAATGACGTGACAAAAAGAAACTATTTCCTAAAAAATTATTCAATTGAAGTCATCACTACACCATCCAGCCGTTTATATCCCCGTAAGAAAAAGTCGTAGTAAATTACGGTATCACGACCAAACGGTGCAGCAAGAAAGGCACAGACAAAAGAGCAGTGTAGAAAAAAAGGCTTGATCTAAAAAGACACATACAATAAGGGCGCAAAACAAAAAGGGCGCGAGTCATAAGGGCGCCATTTCTGAAATCTACATAATACTTTTATTCACATTATTGTCTAGGTTTATCTATATCTAGTTTACCTTTTCTATTGTATTTAATAGTTATTTTAGCGGGAATTTTAATTGCGATATTCTACGTTTATATGATTGTTTATGTGTAATTCAATTTGAATAGTAAGTAAAGTTAATGCATTTATATCATTTTATACGTAACAAATTATTTAATAATTAATTATTTGATTGGAGTGATATCAATAATATTAATGATTTTGTTGCTGATTTTATGAGTTACTTTTATAGTGATTATTTAAATGATGTAAAAGTGAATTTAGAGTGGATATTCAATTGTGATTTTAAAAGCAGGGTTTTATTAAACTATGGTTTTTAGGTTTTATTAATGTTTTTTTATTTTCTCATTATTTCACTTTATTTTAATATCTAAAAAGTCTAATTAAGATCATTAGGTTTATAAAAAAATTAAATTTTGAAGCTTAAATGATTTTTTTTTAATTCCAATTCTAATAGTTTCTAAAAAAAAGTAATATTGTAGGTTTTTTGTGACTTTGTTAAATATGAAATAAAATGTTATTACATTTTCTTTGTTAAAAAATCAAATCTTAAAAAACCAAAAAGATATACAAAATTTTAAAAAACCTAAAAAATTTTGTATAAAAACCTAGGTTTTTAACACCCATGTTTAAAGACCACATCAGTTTGACTGATTTACTTTTTTATTTTTGACTACATTTTATTTTTATAATTCATTATGTGCACATACAAAAAAGTTTATTGCTTTAAATCATTAATACATGAAATGATTTGAATAAAATTTGATTGCATTGGATGGCCACATTGTAATTTTTAAAGTGAATATTTTGCATGTATATATATATATATATATATATATATATATATATATATATATATATATATATATATATACACACAATATTCTATAAATTCTACCGAATGTTTGGCGTTAATATGTTTGTAGTTCGTTTTTTCAATTTTTCTCACTAAAGTTTTTTGGTGAACGTTTAGTTTATTAAAATTCAAAATAAACTTATTTTCAGAATTCATGCTGCAAATAAGGCCATATTTCGATTCCGAATGAATCATCATCAGTGCTTTTTGACGTTTATATAGGGAAATATTGACTTTGTCAAAATGAACTTAGTATATATATATAGGTGTATATATATATATATATATATATATATATATATATATATATATATATATATATATATATATATATAATCATGATCATAAAATATCTTTACCATATGATACTATATCACGTTATGACCATAAAACACTATATCCCATCCTGATAATAAGATAATACATTACATCATGATCATAAGATACTATATTACATAACGATAATAAAATACAACATTGCATCATGACCATAAGATATTATATCAAATCATGATCATACGATACTATATCACACCATGATATTAGAACACTGTCTCACATCATAATCATAAGATATTACATCACATCATTCTCATAAGATATAATGTCCTGATATCATATCTCAGGATATCAGAGCAGTTTATATCAGTTAAATTAAATAGTAAATTTTATAATTACAACAAGTCATATCAGATCCATTTTTCTTTGGTAATATTACATCACAGATAACAACATCACAAGTTCAAAAAATAATTTAACAACAAATAACATCTCAACATTTTAACATACAATAAAATCTCAACAACAAACAACATTTAAATGACAACAACGACGATTACGACAAAAACAGCAACCAACTGGATCTGAAACTTCCTGAGTGAATCTTCAGCATGTTGCAGCATGACAAGGTCAAAGTTCAACTTCTTCATCATCCTCTTCGTCTCCTGATGCTTCTTGTATCCAACGTAGAAACCAAGGATGGCCAGAGAAAGTGATAAGATGAACATGACATCTCTCAACATGCTGTCATGCACTGCTGAGGTTTAAGCATATGTTGTATTTTGGATGTTGCACGTTGAAAGTTATGTGTTGCATGTTGTGTGTCATATGTTTTACACATTAGACGATGCATTTCGTTTGCTGAATGTTTTCGCTGTGTCTTAATGAAATGTAGTGTAGCTGCGTGTGTATCATTATAATTTACTACCACAATCTCTGTGGTTCAAAGAAGAAATTAATTCAAACATGCCTTCAGCAGCATGTTTGAAGAAATGTGACATTTCAAATATCGATTCTCAACCACTCAACCGTTAGAACGTGCGGTAGGTTTCGCTTGTTAATGATGATCTATCTTTTCATTTCTTTATAACATGAAGAAGATGTTCGGGGTTTTGGGATAATTAAAAGGATGTCTAAAAACAACTTTCAATTTATTGCAACCTTCCTACTTCCTTTAAATACACACAAAATCGTCACAATAAACAAAACATAAAATAATGTGAAAACATTTTGCAGCTGGTTCATTCGTTTGCCTACCTTTAGGAACGCCGAAGAGAACAATGTCGGCAGCTTTGAGAGCAATCTTCTGTTTGTGGATGATGTTTCGTATGCCGAGCATTGTGTATAGGGGGTTGTGGATAGTGCTGGCCAGTCTGTTGATGGTCGTGAAAAAAATGGTGTTTTGTTGGTTTTGTTGTGATTTTGTTGTTGTATTGTTGTTGTTGTTGTGTTGTTATTATTGATGTTTCATGTTTTTACATGCTGCTATTAATGTACTTTTATTTTTTTTAACTGAACAAGGCAAATTATGATAAAATTTTAATGTTTCTTGTTGTTGTTTTTCTTGTTATCATCAACATGGTGGGTTATTGAATGTTGTTGTTTACATCAAGCAGGTAACATCAAAGTTTAACTGTTATTTAAGCGTTAATTTTGAGTCATGTTGGTTGTTGATAATGGCTTCAGATTACAAATTTTCTTACCATATAAAAAAAGGAAAAAAAGGATGCCTAAATTTAAAAATAAAGAAGAAACAGACGAGGAAAATGGCTAATGAAATATAGAACGGAATGATGACGTAATGTGAGGGTGGCTGGAATGACCTGGGCAGAAGTTTTCCATTGACGTCGTGCAACTTGAACAGCTGGGAGTATTGATGGAGGTCCACATGCACGTCCAACCAATCAACAACTTCATCAACCGTCCAGTTGTACACTGTGTTTTGTTGCGTTGTTGTCGCTTGTGTATTTTGATGTGTTGTTGTGTATTTTGTTAGGCTGTTGTGTATTGTTAACGTTGATATTGTGCTGTTGTGTGGTGGTTGTTGGTGTTGTGGGGTTTTCAATGTGTTGCAGTTTTTGTAACAAAAATCCTCCCTCTCAAACATTACAAACGAAACATTTGAGTAGTGATTATAGAACGGCTTCCTTTTTCTCGGAACACGTTTAACTTAAAAATTTAATTTTTACTTTTGCCTGTTCTAAATAAAAAAAAAAAACAAAATTTAGTTGATAAGCTAAATGAACCAATCAAACAAACAAAAAAATGATGGTGTATATAAATGACCAAAGATACATATATGTCAAACCAACAGATGTTTCAAGCAGTTGTAAACTGAATCAATATTTTCATTGTTAGATGTGTTTGAACAATTATAAAAAAACAATCTTGTAAACTTCCCAAATATATAAACATGATAACTTATCCACCCGTCAGTCCGTCAGTCCATCCATCCATCCATTCATTCATCCAGCCATTCATTCACTGAATAAATTAAAAATCAATAACGAACCAGACAGAATCAAAAAACAATAAAAAGCAGAATGATAGCAGGATGGAGATACAGAATAAATTTTTTATTATGACTTGTTGCACCATCCTACAAAGCAATCATCACTGTCCCATGGGAAATCAAGAAGATGCATTTACATTTAATAGGAAAGGTGCATGCTGGTAATACTAACATTTATCATTATTATTATTATTATCATTATTATCAACTTAATTAAATGCATATACACGAACTACTCAATAACAGTATCCGGATGCGACCAGCTAACACCGCACATTCCAGTCAAACGAGGAGTGCTTCAAGGTGATCCCATGTCTCCACTGCTCTTCAACCTCTGCTTTAACCCCCTAATGAAATTAGTTGAAAAAACCGAATATCAACAATGCGGCTACATTTGGGGTCCCACGGCTAAATTAAAGACAAGAGCGTGGCTACAATTCGCAGACGACACGGCGATCATTGCTAACAGCACTGGAAGCGCTCAAAAGTTAATCGACTTAAACAATGCATGGTGCAAAGCTACTGGAATGACAATGAGGATAGACAAATGTTCCTTATTCGGCATGAGAAAAAGAAAAGATGCTTATGAACAGTTTCATCCGATGCTGTCCATCGACAACAAACATATTCCTCATGTAGATATTGGAGGCCACTTCGTATATTTAGGTAAGTTATACGATTTCGAAGGAAATAATACAAAGGCCAACAATCTAATGTTCAATAAACTCAAAAAAATATTAACAACTGTCAGTGAACTGAACACAACAGCTCAACTCAAATTACAAATCCTCAGACTTTGCCGTCACAATTTGCGTTTGAGTTTCGAATGTACGATACATCGCTGACTTGGATTGGTGAAAACTTAGACACCTTGGTCACCGAATCGGCAAGAACATGGCTATCATTGCCTATCAGCAGCTGTCTGTGGAAACTA